CCACAGCCGACAAGATAAACAGAATATTCCACAGCCGCGTCTGTCCAACACACTATTACTATAGTCACGCATACAGCACTCAACATACCATTTGTACCGTGCTGTTCGTGCCACACCGTCCAGCACACAATCAAATACAGATACAATCAAATTAATGAGGTCTCGGATTGGCACTGTATTCCACTACAGCTAGTACTATCTGGCTCTCTCCGATCGATTTGTGGAATTACACAATTTATTGGAGTGCATACAGACACTGGACGCGGTGGGCAAAGTAATCACGTAATTGCGGAGTATTAAAATCATGTGCGCATCTTGAAAGTGAGAAAGTCGGCGCATTATGGCGTAATTATTCCTTTATCGACAATGTCATTAGCATTATCTATATCGTTGTGTTGTGCCACATATTGAACTGTTGGCAGCAACCGTTCTCAAGATTTTATGTTAGGGTGTCAGATTGACTGTTCGATCAATTTGTTGGATCTCAGTTTTATCGAACTGACTCTCAAGGTAGGTTCAGTTTTTATAAAGTCTTGTTCGGCAACATAAACAATGATAATAGCATAAACAATGATAATAGCATAAACAATGATAATAGCATAAACAATGATAATAGCATAAACAATGATAATAGCATAAACAATGATAATAGCATTTTATGTTCAAGCCGAGTCTCATGAAATCTAAGGTAACTACAAACTATTCGATCATGAAAACACGTGCAACTTTACCAAACGAAAGTTTTTTAAAAAATTTCCTAACGTTTCCAAACTGAGGTATAACTAAATCAAGATAGTGAAATGAGAATATTTCCATTTAATTTAGTAGATCAAGACAAAGATTGTTTAACGATGACATAATCAAATCTCTTCAAACAATAAAAATAATTGCTCGAGAAAAAAAAAAGTTCAATTTTTAAGTTCCAACTGAATTTTTGAACATGCAAATATTTTCACGAAAATCAAGTAACAGCGATAGTGTCGAACAAAACGTTTAAAAAGCTGACATATACCAAATTAGCCTGCTTTCAACAGAAAGAAATATTTGCCCCTGGACATGGAAAATTATGTACACATAACAAAGCTACCAGGTAGGAATGTATACCCTTATTATATTAGTTAGACCCAAGGCCATGTTATGTGAACAATGTGATTGAAAGCGGAAAAAGCGTCGACATACGTTTATAGGTCCATAACTAATTTAGGTATGATAAGAAAGTAATAAACGTTGTCGGAAGTTACAGATATATAAATATTCAGATATTTGTTAGATAAAATCTGATGAAAAATTCGCATTTATATTATGGCACATATGCAAGCAATGAAGGTATATCCTGGAAGTCGGAACACATAAACTATAAATCCATCTTAAGTGTAAATTACTTACGCTAAATGATGTTAAATATAGCTGCAGTCACACTATAGATATTAATAATGGACACTCGTCACTCAATCTGGTCAAAATTAGCATAAATGCCTGCTTCTGCATTCCATTTTAAAACTATTATACTTATAACTTACTTTTGTAACTCTCTGATAACAAATACCAGAGATAACAGAATCTAGACTTCAGAACAAAAACAGAGGCCGTTCTCGAAACTTTATGACTCTGAAGAATGCGCCATAAATTTTTCTAGAGTTCACTAAGGTATACTTCTTCAATATTTGAATTTATTGAAATTCCACATATGCAGAATGCATTTAAACAAAAATAATGTTTGCTCAGGAATAAGAAATGGATCAACTAAAATCCATCACAAAAATGAGAAACACGAGGTGACCAGGCTTCTATTATACCACACAGACAAACGATCACTTTTAGTGTAGTGTAGTGAACTGTACGCTGTTCGAGTCTGGTGATTTCCCGGCAGTAGCATATTGCACAAAGCGCTGATATATATCTGAGAGTGAGACCAGCGTAGTCTCCTCATTAATAATATTGCTGTAAGACAAACCTGCTGGCAGGTAGACAAACAAAACAAAGCGCAATCTAATCCACAGCACACCTCGAGATCGGAGCGTTCAAAATATACCAGATGATTTAATATTAAAGTAGTGCAGACCTATCATAGTGCGGAGTGAAGTGGGCCGTTTTATGACCACTGAGCTATACTCAGTACCTGAAGGGTTTTCAGTGCGAATATAGTCGAGCCAGGAAGTATGGAAATGAAGGTTAGAGTAGGCTCATAATATATACTGGTCACTACAATAGTTGAGGTGATCCCCGGTTGTGATGGTACGTATTCAAGTTAATGAACTTATACAGCCCGCTCCTTCAGCTACGTGTCAAAATATTCTACATATATATTTAATATTTTTATTATCATGTGTTTATGATTTGAAGGTCAAGGTTGGGTCTACATTCTACAAGTACAATGAGTTGGTGATTTATATCATTGTCTGGGCGAAATGAAATTGACCTAAATAAGGTCTAAATAATAAGGTCGACTGAAACTAAGTTAACTGATTGGGTAACACAGTAACTTGAGACATATAAATCTTCATCACATGAAATGCGAATATAAATATTAAATATGTGAGTACGTGTCTACCGTCCATTTCGTTTCTAAAATGAACAGCTACAACTTCGTTGTAGCTGTTCATTTTAGAATGTTAATCATTATTAATAAAACGGTATTCGTTTCACAATACCAAACAATGTATCCTCAATCAAATTGATCAGAAATGTGGAGAATGTTGACGGCAAGTGAAAACGCTGTGTTCATGCTTTGACCTTATACCTTATGTTATACCTGTGATAATTACAGCGCATAGCAATGAAAAGAGAGCTCTGGATCGATCTGGAGGGAGCTCAGGGTAAAGACTATACTAACCCTTAGTATACACCCTAATTATACCACCAAATACACGCCTCTTCGACAAATACACGCCTCTTCAACAAATACACGTCTCTTTCTATACCACCAAATACTAAACAGGCTGTGTATGAGCTTGAACACTCTCCCGTGGAGCCGAGCCCATTATCATAATCCCTGCCAACAAATCCCTGGATTATTAGCCGGGCTCTTCCGGATGATTTGCATATCAAAAGAGGGCGGCGCTTGCCAGAATATCATAGATCTGAAGGAAGGAGAGAGAGATGCATGTGTAAGCCTAGACAAGTTATATAGAGATTGTGAGCTGTTTCTGACAGGGTGTTTTGTGTTGGTGGATATGGTGACAGAGGAGATTTAGTAAAAAGGAAGAGCAGCTGGCCCAGGTTGGTGTGTATGTTTTACATTCCACGTGGCTATTTTAGTTTATGTCGTCATAGTGAAAATTGTCCATTTTAAAGACGAATGAAGCCGATGTAAGATTAAAATCTTAATGACATTGCAAATTTCCCTAGTACCAAAATTCAGATAAGGAGACGGAATAAAGCAAACTTTGCCAGATAAACGGGAAATGAACAAAGGGCCTCCTTCAATTCTATAGGTTTGAGATTTAAAGAATTGTCGGGATCTGATGTTGCCTAGTGCCCGTCCCTACAAATACTGTGTTAAGTATTACCCCCCTGGGTGAACTTCTAGTCCACCAATTAGCACCGAGAAAAGTAATCACGTGATGTTATAATTATATCATGCAATCAACGTCGCGTTGAGCACGATCAGATTAAAACAATGAATATGCGTCAGTCCAAATATCCGCTTTATCTCACCTTATCATTGCTTATTTAAAATAGGCCGTTTGATGAGTCAAATTATGGTGTTGGATAGTGGATAGTGGATACTATAATATAACAGTTTGACACTTTTTTTTCTGTTCTGGATTGGAATAGCTGAACCAGATGGAAGTCTTGATTTCCAACATGAGGATGCAGAGCCAGACGTAGTTTATTGTTATTATTTATTATTGCACAGAGCACCACTTTACTTTTCAAAAATAGATGCATCAAATATAAGACTTACAGACAATACAGACGTTAACGTATCCCAAAATTACGAGAAATAAAAAAGTCAAAAGAACTTGGTAATGTCAAATGGGCGTGAACCGTGCCTAAACTATGTGTTAAGTGTCTGTCGACAGATTACCAAATTGCCAAAGAGAATGACAAACCATACAAATAAAAGGAACAAATAAGGCGGATGAATATTTATTAAGTCGAACATAGGTTCTTGAAAACGAAAACGGAACTGACCACATTATCTATAATACCTTGCTGATATGCCTATGCTTCAAAGATTCTAATAGTAAACATAAAGGACGATAAAGGACGATAAAGGACGATAAGGGACGATAAAGGACGATAACTATGGTCTCTACTTTTCCTCCCTACTAGACTTCAACTGGGGAAAAGCAAAATGACAGTGGTTCTAATCAAATCTGAAGTGCAACGACTACTATGTAATAATTCATTCAATTCACACAATATTATAATAGAGTAATAATATTGTACAAACTATAGGATTAATCAAAATTTTAACATTTTTCAGCTTGCTCCAGTAATAATAAGTATCATGGTTCGTACAAAACATCGTAGAACAAATTCAGGAAACCCGACTATCAGAAATTATCGCTGATTAGATATGTAGAATGCAGATGGAGACTTTAATTTGTATCGAAACGTAAAACCCTAGATAATCTACAAATTTTACTCAATATAAAAGCAACAGCAATAAACAGAAATTACCTTCATTTTCAGAATTAAGTCTTTCCTCCCCACTTCAGTCAAGCATGTCCACTTGTCCATATTTTAATTGTCTGTCGACAGACTACCAAAGTGCCCCATGTCTCGTAAATCCAGAGCTTCTGGTCCCGTAAAGCCGACCGGAAGTAGGCCGGAAGTGCTATATGACTTCTCGTTGTTGGAGGAGTTCTGAGCATGCCTAAAATATTAATGTTGTTGCCTACAAAATAAGCCGTACGGACAGTATTCCTTTATATTTCATCAAGAAGTTTATATCAATCAATGGATGCATTATTTGTTATCGGATTAGAAATTATTGATTTTATATGAGTCGGGGTTCAAGAACTTTACGTTGCATTAAAACTGTGCGGGTGTAATGGTGGTTAAAATCTGGTTATAAATTCTGTGAATCGGGATTCGAGCAAAAACATTTGTACAAGCTTATTTACAATATCAATGGTCTGATAAATCTATGTTTTTGATAAAGAATAGAATGAATCACGAGTCTCTCTGGGTTTCTTTATGTTTTTATCCTCATGGTTGCCAAGTGATGACGTTGATGGCAGTTTTTGCTACTTTCTGCATCATGGGTCCGCCTGTGTTGGCAATATCTCGAAGCTGAAAAGAACAAAGTTTTAGTTTTCATGTCTTACAATTCCTTCCATGGCTCATTATAAAATTTGGGATCAATTTCTATTGGTAGAAACTCGGTTTATTCATCTTGTCTGCCACCAAATGCAGACAATAATAGAGAAGAAGCATGGCTCCCGCTCATAAGAACTTCTTCTTAAAGAAGTAAGAAATACAGTACAAACTACAAAACTGTCTGACATTTGAACTTCACGGATCCCTGATATTTCAACTTACCAGTAACAAGTGAAAACGATATTAAAGCAAGTTAAATAATAAAATGAATAGCAAACTCACAGTAGGAACGATCGCTGTAAGTTTCTCTCTTCCCGAGGGTGCTTCTGCCAGCATCGTGATAGCCTTAAATATGTGAAATGAAAAGACCAATCTTAAAACTAGTCATACATCTTATCTTGAGAAAAAGATAAGGTAAGTGTCCAATTTTTCAGAAACACCGAACCTTGAGAGATCTTGGCGAATTACCTCAAAATTCCAGTGACTATTTAGGTTAAATAATGTCACCGAAATCTGTGAGATTTGTATACTTGTGTGGGGGATTTAATCTTTAGTTTGTTCCCAGAGTGTTTATTTTTAGAACAGCGTTTTAAAAGTTAAGTTTCATTACCAAACGAAATATATCAACATGGATTTATGATACAAATATTGTTTAAGGTTCTTCAATAAAGATATTCAGCAAGATATTCAGCAAACTATTTTAGCAGATCATAACGAAGGAGATTGAAGTTCTCGCCTTATAAGTCTCAGAGCTAAATTCATCGGCACAAATTTGGAGTAAGTATAATTTAGTCTCAGGGATATTTATGTATAATATAGCCTCAGGGCTACGTTGTTATGTAATCGCAGAGCTATATTTTTTGATTTGACGTTGATCATTTTTTCAGTAAAATTGTATCGCTCAAGTGCATTTATGCACTTGAGCGATACAATTTGACTACCTATAAATAGGTGCTGCCTGGTTAAGATGAAATTGAATAAACTTAGCTATTGAGATTTCATTTCACAGGTTCCGAAAATGGGCCAATAAAATGTCATGATCTGCAAGGAGACTATTTCAAGCGGTTCTATGATATATGTCAGCACTCAGCAAGGGTTACTACATCATAGTACATCGACTGGTATATGTCAGCAAAGGTGCTCGCAAAACAGACAAACATTTCAATTTGAGAGTTGAGGAAGCATCAAGATTCAAGTAAGAGACTACATCTCGAGCATTCAGGGGGTAGATTTAGATTTTATAAAGCCAAAATCAGACCACATCTTGAGTATTCAGGGGAGTTAGATAAAAGAGCCAAATATGGCAACATTCAAACCAGGGTGGTGAGTCAGCTGGCTTCGTCCACAATTTCGCAACCAGGATAATTCGGGCAGACTCAACCTCAAAATATTAATCATGCCTCTTGACAATGAGGTTTCTTTGTACAGAATAACATTTGACCACTAACGTCGACCATTAAGTGACATAACAGGGAAAGTAGCTAACATACCATAGGTTCAAACAGGGTTATCAACTTTGAACGTTCAAACTGTCACCCAAGTTTTTACGGCATGAAGAGGACTCATCTTATATATTATCTTATTATATTAGAATTAGTACAAAACTATAATGAAATTCGAGCATAACAGTGATAGCATTCAGCTCAGTTATAATTTCAACTGTGATCAAATAAACTTGATTGTACCTAAATAAGTTGATTAACGTACAGTAGGCTATACTGCACGGGCAGACTTATTTTTATTATGCTTACTTTTAATTATGCTTTTTATAATCATTCCCATTCATACAGCTGGAACTTCACAATGGTACATTTCGGCCCGAGCTTTCACATTAGCCAGCTGTAATCAGCCAGATAATAATTGCGTTTCTTATTATTATTTCTCCTAAAATCAAAGAAAACTGTTAGTTTGGATGAGGTGAAAGCTGGAGAGAGGGTAAGGATACACCCTGTTATAACTCGTATACATTTACAGCCAAAACTCAGAACATTCTCTAATTCCACTGAGAATCTCAACGAGATAAGGCAAAACCGAGAGCAAAAACAGGACATCACCCCTAACCTCCTCCAGAACCACTCCTATCCTAACATTCCAGCAGACGAAACAACAACAACTACGTTTTATGATACAGGTGCTATGACACGCAACATAACGTATAACGTGTCGTCTCACACCTTCACCGTCAAGAGTCGTACGTTTGAGCACGTATTAACCTTGATCACGTTTAACCGCACGTCGGAGGAATCGTCAGATTGTAGCAGTTTCATCAACGCTTCCACAGCTCCCGCACTGATCGACTCTCGTTTTCCTTCCGTTGTGATCGCTATACTGAACAGTGGGATAGTGGTCAGGTGGGTATACTGAAATCCGTTATTATAGGAGATTTACAGAAACAAGGGAGTAAAAACAGGGGAATTTTGTGGTTTAAATTTTAATGGGAGCAAATTAAACAAATTACGGGTAAATGCCTCACAGAATGGCTAGCCTCACAGAATGGCTAGCCTCACAGAATGGCCAAATTTGTAAATGTTTTTGTAACTAATTTTTTATAAAAGACTGGTAGGTTTTGTGGATACCATATGAAACAAAAGTCTTTTGGCAACACTTCCTGTGGTGAAATCATTAACTAGGACCACATTTTCTGGCATAAATATGACTGTTTATGTAGAAATTTTGAGCACTGAAAAATTTGTTTTCAAATTTTTGAACCAAGTTTACATTTTGGTGAGAACTTCTGGCACCAGTATGACAGAAGATGTCCAAAGAATAGTATTCATCAAAAAAAACGAACATTGTTCAATATAGGAAGAAAAAAATGCTAAAATGGCTACACGCCTCACAAAATGGCCAAAATATGCCTCACCAAATTTGTTTTCAAATTTTTGAACTAAGTTTGCATTTTGGTGAGAACTTCTGGCACCAGTATGACAGAAGATGTTTAAAGAATAGTATTCATCAAACAAAACGAACATTGTTCAATAGAGGAAGAAACAAAATGTTAAAATGGCTAAACGCCTCACAAAATGGCCAAAATATGCCTCACAAAATGGCCAAAATTTAAAACTCCTTTTATTCAATGAAACCATAAGTCTAAAGTATTCACAAGCTATTTATCATACAATAACACCCCAGATGGAGTGTTTTTACAGCCGAATGAAGGTTATAAATCATGAAATCAGGGAATATGAACAACGCCACACAAAATGGCCATTTTTGGTGTAGGAAATTATGCCCTTTTTATTCAGTTCTAAGAAATTTCACCTATATGGGGGTGTTAACAAGGCATATTAATACCAGCAGCATGCCTGAAACAAGAGCCAAAGGTTTTAGAAAAATAAAATTTTCTCGTTTTCTTTTTTTTTTGCCATTTTGTCAGGCATTTTTTCTTTTTTGTGAAATAATTTTTCACAGCTCAGTTTTTTCGTGAGTTTTAGGTTATTACCCCATTCCTTAATAGGTTTTCTAACAACGTGTGGTGTTAGAAATTTAAAAAGTATCTCCATCAACAAAATTATAGAAATTCAGATTTGGCCATTCTGTGAGGCATGTTTTTTTGGAGGAAGATTTTCCGGCCAATTTTTCTCAAAGAAAAAATGGTTATGAGATTAAATCAACCCCCGGGAAGACAAATATGAGTGTCAACTTAGCTTCTTATGAGATAAAAACTGGAATAAAGTGTGTTTTGTGATTTTGAGAGACCTTCCTTTTTTTGGCCATTCTGTGAGGCAAATACCCGTAAATAAAATGAAATAAACTGCGAAATATTTGTACCTCATCAAAGCGCCAGCTGCCTGCGCTCGCACGTGAAAATGTTTATCAGCCAGTAGTTTGACCAACACAGGAATACACCGAACTTTCACCGCCCTCTTCTTACCTTCCAATGGGAAACTGAAAATGGTAATTAACGGTTTATTGCATCATGATCTTATACCTAATCTTAACAGTTCTTCCTAAATTCATATGATTGTCATGAATTCCACTGCGCCAAATTCGGTTGGAACTCCTCGATCAATCATGAATAAACCCACCTGATATCCATTATATCTCGAGCTGCTTTTCCTCTTATCTCCCACGTCTCATGACCCAGAAGGGAGGTGAAGACCTCCATAGCCTGAGCTGCAAGGGCCTGATTTGTGTCCACTTTCATGCAGTAGTGTAGGGTATCCAATACTAGTTGCTGAAAACAGACCAGTACTTCATGATTATACTCAATATTTATTGAGTTGACAAACTCACCCAACAGTGCAACATGTACATTGTACAAATACATTTAAATATTTATGTGGGTATTTTACCTTAATTTCGTCGGTTTCAGTTTTAAGCTTTTCGACTAGTTTCTTGATGAGATTAGCATTAACAATCCCTTGAGCACCATTGACTGTATGACTAACACTCTCAACAGCCCTGAAGAATTTTATTCTTCTCAATGCGCCTCACTTTAATCACGGAAATCGTAGATTCGATTAAAAATTACCGAAATAAATCTACGTAGACTTTCTTGTGGATACCTGTGAGACATAAGTCTGGCATCTTCGTGTTTGTCGTCAAATAATGCTGATATTGGCTGAATGAGATCAAACTCTAATATAGCATCTCGACCGATGGCGTGGTTAGAGCAAATGAAAAGCACCTCAGTTGCTTTCCACCGGACAGTCCCATCTGAATCACCTAATAGTTTCTTTAGACTCTTGGCCATTCCTGAAAAAAAATTTTAAATACGCACAGGGAAATCCTAAATAACTTACCCTTCATTTTGTATACCTGCTTCTGACTGTGATACATCAATCTACCTTTTGTAGTGTTAAATAATAATGATAGTACATTGTCATGTATATTGTTTGCACTGTGCCGCGCGCGCGACGGTTGTTAGGGAAACGCGCGAAATAAATAGTCTTTTCGTATAAAGCACTAGGCGCCCTACAAAACTGTATTTTTTATGATGGTTTGGGACAGGTAGAACCCATTTTTAAACTAAAACATGTCCCACCTACCCCGGAACATAAAAGCACTACAGCCTACAGGGGTAAAGATTTTAAAGTCTGGATTTTAGCTGGATTTCGGTAATTTTGGGATGGGCGTGGCCCCTGGGAGTGGCCTGAGTGGGTTGAGAGGTCGAAACTTGATTTTTATGATGGTTTGGGACAGGTAGAACCCATTTTTAAACTAAAACATGTCCCACCTACCCCGGAACATAAAAGCACTACAGGGGTAAAGATTTTAAAGTCTGGATTTTAGCTGGATTTCGGTAATTTTGGGATGGGCGTGGCCCCTGGGAGTGGCCTGAGTGGGTTGAGAGGTCGAAACTTGATTTTTATGATGGTTTGGGACAGGTAGAACCCATTTTTAAACTAAAACATGTCCCACCTACCCCGGAACATAAAAGCACTACAGGGGTAAAGATTTTAAAGTCGGGATTTTAGCTGGATTTCGGTAATTTTGGGATGGGCGTGGCCCCTGGGAGTGGCCTGAGTGGGTTGAGAGGTCGAAACTTGATTTTTATGATGGTTTGGGACAGGTAGTACCCATTTTAAATCTAAAACATGTTCCACCTACCCTGGAACATAAAAGCACTACAGGGGTGAAAAGCACTACAAATGCACTCCAAAAATCGAGGAAACGTGCTCTCCAAAACTGGCGATGAATCCAACTCACATCGTCTAGTAGATCTTCTATACAAGTGTAAGCGAATGTCGCCCCAGTTCAGATGCAAGATAATTCCTTTCATTTAGCCAATAAAAAACGTACTGGTAATGTCCAACCAGAGTTTGCTAGTAGCCATCATTGCATATTATTAGTTAGTACAGTAAAAACTCGATGTACCGCGTCTCCAATTACCGCAAACCCCGATTTACCGCAGTTTTTTCTTTCCCCAAACTTCGCGGTGAATCGGGGTTTAATCGTATATTTTATATGCAAATTAAGGTAATTATTAGACCATTTTAGCCGTGATATAGGGCATATCGCAGGCGATACTTGTCGAGGAGAACAATTAGAAAAGGTTTGAATATGTAGCAGTAGTCTCAAAATGTTATATTAAATTGGTATTGTGTACACAAAAATACTAACCAACTTTAAGTGCAGCACTGACATGTTCAGGGTTGTGTAACACATCACACAGAGCATTGAGAGCTCGTTGTCTTGTTATCAATGTACTATCTTGCAGCTGTCTGTTCTGAAAAATAAATAGCAAGACTCAATTTGAATTTCATTGAAATCGAATGAAACTTTACTATCCTAAGTACTTTAGGAATTTTCTACTTATTGACCTCAACAGAATGACAAGAAAGAAATTTCTCTCAAAGTATAGTAAAATTAAGCAACATTTGTCAAGTAACTGTTTGTACTCACTATGGAATAAAAGCTTAAAAGTATTAACAATTTCTTACCAGCTTTGGAAGCATATGTTCTCCATAAGCAAGCTCTGCTTTGGTTATGTCGATATTTGGAGGTAAGGCAGTGGTGATCCGTGTGGTGGCCATCCTGACTGAGGTTTTTTGTAAGGTGACTATAATGATCTGAACAGAATTAAATTCGAGAGTAATAGAATAATTGGATGACTGGGTGAGTGAGAAGGGGAGGAGGATGGTTTAGCGATAAAATAATGTTCTAGCTCAACTGAAGAACTATCCTCTAAGTCAATGACTGGGTTAGCTCGGCTCTTTAATTCATCATGGAGAAGTCTTGTAATAACAGCTGGTCAGAATTTAATATTTGATACATTATTGGATCGTTGTTGTTTGATACAATAGTTGAAATGAAACTGACCAGTGACCAATAACCAATAACCAATCTTTCTATGTTCGAATTTTACTCGAACATCCAATTGTTTGGCGCCGAGTTAAACAGGTTGACGAAATTCTCGTCAATATAATGTTTTGTTAAAGACCACAGTTCTTATTGTTATATTAGTCGTTATTCTGCAACTATAAATTGTCTAATTTAACCAACAAGTCTCAGCTTTAACCAAATGATTTGACCATAAGAAACACATCAAAGCCAAAGCTTTGTTGGTTCTGACAATTATATATCTGGCCATTATTCTGCACTCTGCTTTTGTTACCAAATTTTAAACAATGAGAAATATATATGTTTTACGAAAAACACAGCGGCAGCGTTATTTATTTTCGCAACTATTAGCCTGTTTTCATTATTTAAAAAAAATGTTTTAATAAGCTGTTTTCATTATTCAAAATATACGTTTTACGAAAAACTTCTTTATTATCGCAACTAATAACCTTTTTTCATTATCCACAAAACCTTCTACAAAGGCTTTTTATAAATTTTCCCCAAATATCTGGAGCCATAATCAAATTCATTTGACTATTAATTGTAAAGCTCTGAAGACTGAATAATAATTCGCATCACAATTCGTTTTATTTTGGACAATTTGTTTTGAACTCCGTCTGCTCCAACCTCGAGAAGATACCTCGAGAATATGAACCAGCTAGTTTTGCTGACTTCGGTATTGGTGGTCTGTTCTATCGCAACAGACCCGATCGTGAATGATTCCAAGAATTATTTGGTCAGACTTCGAAGGGCAGCAGAAGAGACTAAAGGTACACAATTGTTGAGCTTATATTTTTAGGAATTATGAACGAAAAAATAGAAACCACCCACAATTCTCGTCCAAGCTTCTTACTCTTAGAATTGCCGTTTCTGCTCATACACTTATAGATTTAATGAAAATGTATAATCACCATTAACCTGAAGTTTATTTAAGTTTCAAACCCAAGATTGCACAAAACAGAAAAAAATGTTTTAATGGATAATTACATCGATATTTTTACAGATACATACGTTGGCCTTTATAATATTTTCCACGAATTATTTCCCCGAAAAGTCGTGGACACTGGTAACCGATAATTTCCCGCAAGGGTTGCTAGAGTATTATGAGGACAGACTGCAAGTCACCTCCAACTGGGTGGCGGGAAGTTTCAAAACAAATAACAGTTGCGCACTATATCGTATCAGCGCACGTATCACATTACCCATTGTTTCATCCAGAACCGGAAAAAATTATTGTATTATAATAGCTCAGTCACTGTGGACCTGATTGAGATAATTCTTTCTGGTATGACTTACTATCACCACTCATTCGACTATTCGAGGAGTTTATAAAATCAAAGAATATCCATGTCCATTTTTTCAAAATGAAGGTTCATTCTCGCATTTATTCGATATTTTGAATAATCGGAGTGATTCAAATTGTGATGAGTTGTGTTTAGTCATTCGAATTACACCTGCCTTGCAAAAATGAGATTTCTAGCTTCTCAAATGACCGAAACATTAAAAGCACTAGCAGGAACCCGTCTAACCCTAAAGTGGTGTCAAGACTCGAGAGACTAAAATAATTTTTACCTATTTAATTCGCGTTTTTGACACCACTTGGCGGTCCAAATTTTGGGCACTAAAATTCTTATTTCTTGACAAATTTTTTATTTTTTCATGCTAATTTGAAGGCCATTAAAGCATTTGACCCAGTCAAAAAAGTTTCAGTTGTATATCTTTTACGGTTTTTGCGAAAAGTCGCGTTAAAGTTGATGCCGTGGTGTCAGTAAAATGGCACGGATCCATCCATCCATATATTTATTATCGTCTCGCTTTATATATAGTAAGATAACAAGTTTATTCATACCGTGTGATCAGGTGATTGGCTTAGCTGATCACGTGATTAGGTGACCCCCGACCCCCTGTATCGAGTGGCATAATCGATTATACGTATCATCCTTACTAAACACTACAGTTATTTTGTTAAAGTAATGAAAACTTTCGCAAGAATCAGTTGCACACAATGAAGATTAAATTTAAAAGTACAGCTAGATAACTAATGCTCTTAAATTTCGTCAGGTGGTGCACGTATAAGTCTTGACTGCTGGGGGGACGGTCATAATCGAGCAATCAGTGGCGGTATAAGATTCACAGGATCAATTGAAAAATGTGAAAAATTTGCCATAGATAACAATTTCAAGGTCTTTGCCGTTCAACATGGTGGAGAATGCTTTACTGCAGAAGATGCTGGCCAAAACTGACCCTGACCCTGACCCTGACCCTGACCCTGACCCTGACCCTGACCCTGACCCTGACCCTGACCCTGACCCTGACCCTGACCCTGACCCTGACCCTGACCCTGACCCTGACCCTGACCCTGACCCTGACCCTGACCCTGACCCTGACCCTGACCCTGACCCTGACCCTGACCCTGACCCTGACCCTGACCCTGACCCTGACCCTGACCCTGACCCTGACCCTGACCCTGACCCTGACCCTGACCCTGACCCTGACCCTGACCCTGACCCTGACCCTGACCCTGACCCTGACCCTGACCCTGACCCTGACCCTGACCCTGACCCTGACCAATTGTCGTACTAAACCCTAGATTTCGCGACAATTGACCCCAGTTACATATAATAGGGGTTAATTGTCGGGGGGTTAATTGTCGGGGGTCAATTGTCGGGGGTCAATTGTCTAGTACTATATAATAGAATATTTTGATATCCTAATTTGTTTACTATACAATATTTATTATTTATATTATTAATATTATAATAATAAGGCTTATATTTCAGAGGAAGAGGAAGTTGTTGTAAATTATTGTCCTACTGATTATCCCAACGTCTACTACAACGGACAGTACTGTTGTAAATCCAACATGGAGAAGTTCAACAAGGCTCAGGGTGCCCAATGTGACGGCAGTGTGATTCAGAGAGACAGTTTGTGTTGCGCGGGAGACAAGTACACGTCGTGCCCCGGTGAAAACTGTGTGAGCAGTGGTCACAAGTTTACAGGTTCGTAGTTTATCAGTAATTAATAAAGGTATTCGACAATGAAAACGAGATGAATAACTATGGTAAAAAAGGGTAAGAACCAATATACTATAAAACGCATGTTTTTACTCTGCCCTTACATATCACGGTCAACCCTCGTTGACCGTCTCTGACGGAGTCTTACCCTTAAACTACACTTACCCTTAAACTAACACTTTCAGCCCTTGCTGACCGTCCTTATATCAGGCCCAAATCCACTATAGTTCATTCTTGCTCTACCTGAGCCCGATTGTTGTTGACACGAACTCACTCGCGTTTGATCACCCCGTGTTGACCCTGGCTACAACACAGCCAATTCCTGCTCTGCTGAGTCAACCTTTGTTGACTCTCCCTACGATTAAGCCAGACTGCTCATGTCCTCCGCACAGTTCCACTAACTACAGACCACGATAATGCTCTCACCAGGACCCTAACGTAACAGGTCTTGGCTCCAAAGTATCCTACATCAATGGCCCTCTTCGATTCGGGCAAACTCAATCTGACTCTTCCAGGTCCAGCTCCCAGACATAAATAATGTTCCGTGTGTGGTTTTCACCCGACCGTACCAAGCTCACAGGATCTTTACAGCTGTCCTTATCTGTCACAAAAGGGTCCACTCCGTCTCATTGTCCCGGGTGCAGGTGTTAGATTGATCTATCTTGACCCAAATCTCCCTGTCTGACGGCCTTTGTAACTATTGTTTAGAACTCTCGTGCTTTAGGGACTAGCTTTAACTCCAGTTACATACAGGATTTATGTCTGACAGGTGAGGTTCCAGCTATTTTCTCCCCGTCTTCTCTCCTCCCCTCACTTACGATGTCACCTGCCTAAACTCTGATGTCGAATTGCTGATTATGGCCATCTCCTAACTCCTCCAACTATAATACAATAATATAACAATCACGGCTTACAACTGTGAGAGCAACCCAGCACCCACTGCAGTCACACCAGGTGAGTTGGTCGTATAATTAGTATAATTAGTATAATTAGTTTATAGGCTTCAAATCTTGATATCCTTTAATTCGTCCGGAGAGAGGGATGCAAGTTGATCTTACGAACTTAGTAAACCTCAACAAAAAGGGCATTTTAAGAGAAGCACCGCATCTAGTTGCTAGGTGCTTCTTTAAGTTTAATTTGTAGGTTTACAACCTACCAGGACGCGCGCCGAGTTGGAATATATGGAACAGATATTTTACGAGTATCACCCGTTAAAGTTTAAGAGAAGTACCCTATCTATTTGCTATGTGCTTTTTTAAGAGAAGCACCATATCTAGTTGATAGGTGCTTCTTTAAGAGAAGCACTGGGTGGGCGACAATTGACCCCATAATTTGACCCTGACCCTGACCCTGACCCTGACCCTGACCCTGACCCTGACCCTGACCCTGACCCTGACCCTGACCCTGACCCTGACCCTGACCCTGACCCTGACCCTGACCCTGACCCTGACCCTGACCCTGACCCTGACCCTGACCCTGACCCTGACCCTGACCTTGCTTCAAAGTAGCGCGCGCCGGGCTAGTCCATTAAAAATGGACAAGGAGTTTATCAAATCAAAACATATCTATGTCCATTTTTTCCAAATGAAATTGAAGGTTCATTCTCGCATTTATTCGATATTTTGAATAATCGGAGCGATTCAAATTGTGATGAGTTGTGTTCAGTCATTCGAATTACACCTGCCTTGCAAAAATGAGATTTCTAGCTTCTCAAATGACCGAAATATTAAAAGCATAACAAGTTTAATCATACCGTGTGATCAGGTGATTGCTAACAAAATAAACAAAATGCTTGATAACCTCGTCATTTCAAATCTCTATCGCCTCATATTTTTGCAGATCAGATGCAACAATCAATTATTTACAGTAATCTGAAAAAAATAGGGCGTCCAGCATGTTCGAAATAAACAACATAGGTGATTTAATATTGAATGTGCGTGATCTAAAATATTCTTATTTTCAAATTTTGGCGACATAATCCTTGAATAAGTAGGTACAGTATTTGAGTAACAAGTCTCAAATATGAAACAAGGTGGTGGTATAAGACTAAACGTATATAAACCGACTTTTGCCCCAAGTTCAACAATAAACATGGTTGCACAAGATAAGAATAAGTTATCTTTTTGTCAAAGTAATGAAAACTTTCGCAAGAATCAGGTGCACACAATAAATATTAAATTTTAAAGTACAGCTAGATAATTAATGCTCTTAACTTTCTTCAGATGGTGCACGTATAAGTCTGGGTTGCTGGAGGGACGGTTGGAATCGAGCAATCAGTGGCGGTATAAGATTCACAGGATCAATTGAAAAATGTGAAAAATTTGCCATAGATAACAGTCTCAAGGTCTTTGCCGTTCAAAATGGAGAATGCTTTACTGCAGAAGATGCTGGCCAGACTTACCAAAAATATGGCAAAGCTGGTAATTGTAAGGACGGCAAGGGCGGTGGTTTCGCTAACGATGTCTATCAAGTTGGAGAAAGTCAATCTAGAAATGGTAATAAGAACTCTTTGAACCCAAAGATTGAAAGTAACCAATAAATTATATAACCTTATATAGGAGATTGGAGGATGCAATGCTAAATGCTTATCGAAAGCTTCTACTTTGAATCGTTCACAATTATAATTTTATCTTTACAGATGACGGTATAGTAGAAAATCCTGTAAAAAATGCCAAGTACAGCTTAGGCAAGGACTTCGAACCGGGAGATTTTATAGATGTCCATGGAATCTATAATTCTAGATCCGAATTTGGCATCATTGACATCTTTGATGGAAGTGACAACATTCTAATTCACATCCTCATTAAACCAGGCTGGCAGCACATATGTGAGTCAGATCAAGTTGGCAAACCGTAAAAACATAACTGTTTTATAAATTAGTACTAGTTTAACGTCCCTGTTAAATGTTCACGGAAACATTCCAATCCATTGATCAGTTAGCCGACTTTAAAATCCATGTCTTAAATATCATTTAAAAGTAAATGTGCATGAAATTTCAGATCTAAATTCGAGATTTGGTGGAGGGTTTGGAAATCCACAGTATGATTGTGAACTTCCAAAGACATTGCAATCAAACGAGGATTTCGTCATGAGAATAGTTATGATGGACGAACTTTACAAAATATTTGTCAATGGAGTGAATCTCTCACATAAATTCCCATATCGAGCACCGATTTCTACATCGAAATACATCGTGATCAGGGGCACGGATGGCTTCAAATGGAACAAATTTATTTTACCACGAACGGAAAAAGCTGGTTAGTGAAATAAAATATTGTTCTATCCTTAAAGAAAATTTGTGTAGCCATTTATTATAGTTAACAAATAATAAATAAAAAGATCACAATTTTTAACAAAGGATAACATTTTCAGAACAATATAAGGAATTTAGAGCATTTCAATCAAGCATTGAAGGACTAAAAAAGGTAATTCTGAAGAATGTAGTTGGACAAAGCCTTTTGGACGTCAAATCATATGCTAGCTCAACTCAGGGATCACTTGACGTCTTCCAATGGTGGCTCAAGAAACAAATCCTTGAAAATGAAAAAGGCGGTGTTCTACAGTTTGGTGACGAGACAGTTGACTGGATTCTAGCAAACAGAGAAGCATTAGAAATGTTCATGACCTCAGGAGATATAAAAGGCAACAAATATCAAGAGGCTCTGGAAATACTAAGAGACCTGATCCAAGAAGATCCTGCCATCAAAGAGGAAGCCCTGAGACTCAGACTCGCTGTTGCCACTGCCATCGTCTTTTCATCACCAGTAGATGGATTCGGCTTTAAACGACGCAAAATCGATTGGATGTCAAGGTACCATACCTACATGAGATGGAGTCAAGAAGGTATTTTGTACTCTCCATTCTATGAAGGAACTGCTTGGCATCTCCGTTTTGTAGTTCACTCACGATCAAGAGAGGAAGAGCATCTTTGGGTACGAGAAAACACTCCAGAGGGATTTGATAACCCAAACAAAATAGGTGATGCATGCCATCAAATGATTAGCTACAAAATGAATAACGATGACGGAGTTTCAATCCACCCTCACACTCTCCGATACTATTACTACGTTCCAATAAATCTGAAAGCATGGCATGATATTGGAGGCGTCTGTGGTTCAATATCAACAATGGCTGCAGGGATGTGCCACGCATATGGAGTACCAGCCGCAACTGTAGGGCAGCCTGGTCACTGTGCTTACGTATGGTATAGAAATGGCAACTGGCAACTAGGAAACAGCGTCTCTGATTGGGCGGAAACGTTTCATGGCGACATGTATATGGGTCGAGCGTATTTCTTTCCAGTGATGAATGAAGCTCAAAAGAACCTTGAGGGTTACAGACTGTCTGAAAAAATGAGAATCATCAGTCGGCTGGCGAATCCTGAAGATCGATTTGAAATATTGGAGGATGCTACAACAGAATGCCCGTACAACTTCGCTGTGTGGCTTGATCTGGAAGGTGCAATAGACGAACCGAATCTGCAGAAAGAAACAGTACAAAATGTACTGTTACCAACCCTTTTGAAACAGCAGGAAAAAGAAACACAGGTTTCGGACATTGCCAGGGAAAAGGTTGGCACGTCTGAGTGCTTTGGGGATGACAGAATGAAAAAGCTTCTTGTTGGTCTTGGCAGTGTTCAGTGCAAAGATCAAGAAACATTTGATTTTGAAGTAGATTTGGGGAAGCCTTCAACAATAAAGGAGGTTAAGATTAAGTGGATTGGATTTAATAGGGGAGTTGAGTATGGTATCTATGCTCTGGGCGAAGATAGTGACTACGTTCTGGTAAGAACACACAAGGATGAGAAAGTCGAAGGATGGTGGTACCCTTTGATTACTCTTGATGGATGGGACATGACAACTACTAAAATAAAATTTCACATGACAAAAAAGGGCGGAAGAGCGAACTCCTTTGCCATCACAAAATTAATTGTCATGGGAGTTTGCCACGATTTTCCTGATGACATGTCGAAGGGTAAGCCGGTAAAAGCAAATCCTGGTAGTTCAGATCCTGTTACTCTGGTGGATGGTACTAACTCTACCATATGGAACGGAAACAGTGAGACTAGCTGGTTTGAGATTAATCTCAAGAGAATTTGCGCTCTAGATGACATAGAATTCTTTTGGGTTGATGGTGCGAAACCAGAAAATGTTAAAGTCGTATATAAAGTGGGGAGTGGCCAAGATGCTCAAAAATTGGGAGAAGATCCTTTTGAAAAGGTAAGTTAAGCAAAAAATTTGACATTTCGATTGGTATGGTCATAATGCAGAACTCAAATTCAATAATCAAGATCAAACTTACATCCACTTTGACTGCTTTTTTGCAAATACTTTTTTTCAGATCCTGGCCGGGCCTCACATAAAATCGCAATTTTTTAAGTTCTCCGCATCAACTTTTGCATTTTCCTTTAAATCTTTGTATCACATAGTGACCCCACGGCCGTTTCATTATGGTGAGCTGCGCGATAGTGTGCGGCGCGTCATACATTGACCATTGTTAATGGTCTGGCCCGGCGCGCGCTACTTCGTAGCACGTGTTGACGGATGTTACTCGTCTAAATTTCTTCGAAGTAGCGCGCGCCGCTTTCTTCTCGAAATGGTCCGATGGCACGTGCTACGAAGTAGCGCCCGCCGGGCCAGATCATTAACAATGGTCAAAGCACGTGCCATCGAGAAGTAAGCGGCGCGGCGCGCGCCGAGCTACTTCGAAGAAATTTAGACGAGTAACATCCGTCAAGTTATATAACGTATGACAATTAAATTTGACGGATGTTACTTGTTTAAATTTCTTCGAATTAGCGCGCGCCGCTTTTTTCTTGAAATGGCCCGATGGCAAGTGCTACGAAGTAGCGCGCGCCGAGCCAGATCATTAACAATGGTCGACATGAATTAAATCTGAGGACCAAATTCGCGTATTTTCCTTCAAATCTGTGGGCCAAATATATCAATCACACACAAACTTCCGAATGTAGGTACAAGGTACGGACTTTCCAAAACCGATCAAAAAATATTTTCGGCTCAGAATGATCAGCGTAGCATGAAACATGAACAAATAAAAAACAAATAAAAAGTAGTTCCCAAAAAACTTTGAAAAATTAAATTTTGACTTCGAAAATTTTCGGTCCGAGTTTGTAACCAGAGCTAGAGCCTTCTTGCTTGCAGTAGCGCGCGACCGCCGCGTATACACATGGTTGCTCTAACCAGAGCCCTCTCGCTTGCAGTAGCGGCAAAGGAAACAAGCTTGTGAAACAAGCGCGTCACGCAATACGTTACCTGGGGACCTCAGGCTATTATGTTCATAAACATAATAGAGATTCGGCGGAATGACAGGCTGAGCGCGGCCCAGTAAGCAGTACGCGTATACACATGGCTATGTCAAGGTCCGAGTCATTCTCGAAATTGGGCGACATCTGTCCGACAGCCGAATTAGGGATTTCGGAGAAATGTCGCTGTCGGACAGGAATCGTTTTTGTGTTTTGGCGACATCTGTCCAAATTCCGGATCATATTGTAATTTTGGTTCACATTGGTATTTCACAAGCTCACGGGTAATCTCGTGACGTTGTTTCCAAATTTTTCTAATGCCATGTTAACGGGTGATATAGATACTCGTAAAATATTTGTTCCATATATTACCGTCCAACTCAGCGCGCGTCCTGGTAGGTTATAAACCTACAAATGCCATGCTGATGTGATCCATTGAGAATTGATCCATCGACGCGATACGTGTTTGACTAGTTGAGGACAGGAGCGTGCTAGCCGTACACTAACAAGCTGTCGATCACATCACAGGACACAGCCTACATGAGTATATATAGGACAGAGGTATGGAGTTCAGTTATCACAATCCACAATGGCAACCAATCTTCAGTTTATCCCTGGACACAAACAAGGCTCGGAGAACCCTATCCTGAATGGCTTTCGATACGTACCGGAGACTGACGTCCCTCGAATCTGGAGGCACCTGAAGCCCCTCCTTCCTAAAGACATGGCTGAGTTTTGTTTATTATACTACGAAAACATTTGGATCGGGACATTGTAGGTTTACAACCTACCAGGACGCGCGCCGAGATGGACTCGTCGACGGACAGATATTTTACGAGTATCACCCGTTAAATCGGGACATCAACCACCAATCCTAACTTCGCTCCCACATGTGGAATCAACACGAAGCCGCACAGATGATGATTCCTCGCTCATCCAATATCGCAGAAGGTTGGCATCGCCATCACGGCTTCCATTCAATTCTCTCCTGCTCGAAGCCCACAATTTGGAAGTTCCTTGATCATTGATTGCCTTAAACATTAAAGAAGAACAAGCCTTTACTTACTGGGCCGCGCTCAGCCTGTCATTCCGCCTAATCCCTATTTGTTGTTGAACTTACCTGGGGACCTCAGGCTATCATGTTCATAAACATAATAGAGACTAGGCGGAATGACAGGCTGAGCGCGGCCCAGTAATTGTTGAACATGATAGCCTGAGGTCCTCAGGTAAGCCTTTACAGGCGTAAAGAAAACCAAAAGAGACGGGCGGGAACTACCTTAGCCACATGCACCCAAATGGATCCGTTTTGATCGACAACTTCATTACTGGGCCGCGCGCCGCTCAGCCTGTCATTCCGCCGAATCTCCATGTTTATGAACATAATAGCCTGTACTGAGGTCCCCAGGTAACAACTTCAGAGAATTTTAGGTGATTACAAAAACTACAGCAACCCTATGAACATTAATAAAACATTTAAACTATTGTCTAATTTATCGACATCAAATGAAAATAAACTATGGTACAGATCAGATCTCAGATCGGATGGCTCAGATCATCTCTGATCTCAGATTGGATGGCTCAGATCATATCTCAGATCGGAGATGTTACGTATACAAATTAGCAAGTAACAGTTCAGAACATGTCTCTAATAGTAATTGGAAATGTGATGTATTGAAATCAGATCTACAATTTCGTTACCTATACCTGGGGACCTCAGGCTATCATGTTCATAAACATGAATAGAGATTAGGTGGAATGACAGGCTGAGCGCGGCCCAGTAACAATTTCGGACAGATGTCGTTTTTTTTTTGTACCCTGAGTGAGAGTCGGACAGATGTCGCTGTCGGACAGGAGTTAGTGTTACCATTCTCGATGCGTACCTCTGAAAGCAGAGCTCCCGCTTCCGAGCTCGTATTGCGAAGGGGAAGCCTGCCTTCCGACTCCGAGATCGCATTAAAAAGGGGAACCCTTGAGTCCAAAATCGTATATCGAACTTTGCTCTATCCAGAGCCCTTGCGCATGCAGTCAAAACAAGCGCGCCCGCAGCGGCGCTGGGCGCGAAAGCACATGGTCAATGGTTAGGCCCTGAAATCATCATGTCAGGGTAGCATGAAACATGAACAAAAGTAGTTCCCAAGAAAATTTTGAAAATATTTGACTTAGAAAATTTTGGTTAGCCCTTTTTGGCCCCTTGCTCAGATTTCATGGGGCCGGGGGCATTGGCACCCCCCCTGCCCCCCGCTTTCTACACCCCTGGTTCAGGTACCTCTATCTATGGACTGTGGCACAACAGTGAGAGTAGAAATGTCTGGTGGTAACGCAGCACTGAAAGGAGTCAAAGCTTGTGGAATCTCACACACCGCAAAAAATATCCTAAAAATGAAGGTCAGCAATGCCTACAAAGACTTTTACAACGTCGAAATGTTCTTGTATACGTCCATCAACAACATGACGTACGAGGATTAAAGAAGAAGCACACTATTTTAAAAAACCGTACTAGCATTTTTATTTTTGGGTAAAAACTTTTAAAATATAGAGCTTAAAATTATTTTTATTATTTTCATCGTGTGGGTCTTATTATTTAGCAATTCTATATTTAATATCAACTGGTACATGTATTTCTTTAAAAAATTTTACATTTTAAAAACGATTGTAATTTCGATTCTAAAATAGTATTAGTTACGACCTCCAAATATTAGTTACGACCTCCAATGTCCAAATTTCAAAACCTCGAATGTTTCTCGGAACCTAAATTCTTGAAACCTGAAATTCGACCATATATAATTCTAGAACCGAATATTGTAGCTTAAACATCTTGGATGGAAGTGACAACATTCTAATTCACATCAACATACGACCAGGCTCGCAGCAAATACAAAATAGGTGAGTCAGATCAGTTTTTCCGAAGCTCTATTAATGAAAGCATCTACCATTCACACCATGGTTTGGTGGCCGACCTGCATCCGACCGAATCGGTTCTCACTGGGAATCGAACCCCGGTCGTCCACGTGATAGTATTCATTAGTAATTATTCACTATTTTTATCCCAATTGTCACAGTAAAGAGGTCGTGCCTAAAATCATGACAAATGGCAGTTTATTTAGAGGCCGTGCCTGTACTCGTGACAACAGTCATGGCGACAACAGTCATAGTATGGTCTGCCCCTAATTCCTGGAAGACATGGTACTACAAAAGGGTGTACGTAAGACGTTAAACTTAAAGTGACGAGTAAAATCCGTCAATTAAGTTTAACAAAAGTTAAAGTTTATGAAAAGCTCTGTCCATCGGACGTAATAATCAATAAAACACAAACATAATATGATGCCCCCGTCATGATTAAGTTTACTAATTATAAACAAAAAACACTTTAAAAACATTTTTACAACAGTAATTACAAACTCATTTCTTTTTTAACTGTTCATTCCCAGAAAACATTTCTTAAAACGGCATAGTAACAGTCCATAAACTTGAAAAGGTCTGCCTTGTAGCTTGAATAGTTGATCACGCTAAGAGGTGATACTGATATGAGACAGAGACTGAGAGATAGAGATGACGTCACGTGAGTAAGCAATGACGTCACACTTATTGTCACGTGGACAGAATAGCGTGTTTCTTTAATATTTTCCAAGCTTCAGACTTCGATTCCTTGTCTGTACTTTCCTCGTCCTGAACCTGAACGATGTGTGAGTCTTAAAATGGGGAAAATGCTGGTGTAGATCAAAACATTGAACGTTTCAAATAATATGTCACACGACTTTACATCAGGATTAATAAACAAATGCAACGTTTATCTGGGGACCCAGGCTATAATGTTCATAAACACCGAATAGAGATTCAGCGGAATGACAGGCTGAGCGCCACCCAGTAAAGGCAATACAAAGTAAGAGGCCGTCAATTTTTAAAATTTCATAAACACAATCCACAAATAACCTTAGTAAATCCAAACAATATCACAGATAATATATAAATATTCAGAGTCATCTTTTGTAAGCATATCACAACTCCACATCGCACATCATACATCACACATCACACATCACACATCACACATCACACATCACACATCACACATCACACATCACACATCACACATCACACATCACATATCACACATCACACATCACACATCACACATCACACTGGCAATAGTTAAATAGTTAAAACCAGTTTTACTCTTACCTGTTGTAAGACCTGTAAAATCTCGTATTTATAATGAGAGTGATCCTCATACTCCGTATTTGAAATAACCCGATCTAGGAGCTGCATGTAATACACTCGGTCCTGAAACACAAATGTCAGCACTTGCTCGCAACTAGTCGTGGTCTCAAAAAATGGGCATGTGGTAAGCCACAGGCCACTGACAAAATAATCATGTTCAATCAAACTAAATTTTTTCAAATTATGATTTATTCATTAAAAATTTGGTCGGCACCCCTGAAATGGTACGTATCAAGATAAATTATTGAGTTGTCTTGTCCTTAAAATTGATCGCGGTGAAATCTTATAATAATACGCTGGTGTAATTTCTACACAATTATTGCTATGTGGGGGTCTATGACTATATTCTATAATGGCCAAAATATGGCTTACGTAATAATTGTGAATGATTCCTTGGCCTTATTGCCATTCTGTGTGGGGTGCTAGGGCGCCATAGTCAGTCTTATAAAAGAAAGCTATCAGTGTTATTTACTTTACTGTATACAGCAAAACTTGCGACCCTGGCCCCCGCACCAGTTAGAAATTGTTCGTTAGACATATTTTAAGTATATTAAATTATATTGGCCATCGGGTTGACACTTATAATTATATAAGATCCGCACTATGGGAATCGATTACGGTTTCGTAGCAGATTCTCACATGATTACCAATCAATTTGCTTGATAACTTCGTCATTTTAAATCCTTTTCGCGTCATATTTTCAGTACATATTCCACATTTAATGATCTATTGCAATATATTGCAATGGAATTTCGTCGCAAACACGAGTATAAGCAATTCAATATTGATGGGGTTTGGTCTCTAAAAATCTAACGGTCAAATTTTGGCGACAGAATCCTCGAATGAGTAGTTACAGTATACCTACGAAGGTCTCAAATATGAAACATGACTATGCATATGTATAAGAACCCCCCCCCCCCCCCCCGGCCCCTGCAACATTAACACAGTTTTATTCGCCTATATTATCTGATTATCACTATTATGCCATTCCAAGTCATTTAATTTATGTCATGCATCCAGGCTTTAAATCTGCGCTAAGTATATGTAAATTTTTAGCAAATTCTGATCGACTGTTTTTTTTCTTCTTTTTTTCTTGCTTGGCTCATTTCGTTAGCGGTGTATAAATCGATATTATATACCTTGTCTTGTTTTAGAACAGTTTGATTAAACAGGAAGTGGTATTAGCCGTTGTTTTTTCATGTGCTTTGATCGAGCCTTTTAGTTGTCATGGTATGGTAACCGGGATTACTGTGCTTCATAACAAGGTAGGTTTAAATGATTCTACACATGGATCTATGTTCATATTTAAAGTTCTTATACGAGATGATTTTTGTGGAAAATATAAAAGAAACTTGAGTCTGAAGCGGTTTCTAACAAACATCAACACGCCAAATGGGTCGACTGTTAAAACTGTTAGTTACGCTATACAGGGCTTCCCAGCGACTATTCTAGTACGTCAGAACTGCCGGGTTGGAAGAGAAAAAGGGCCAGAGTGATATCGAATGTCTGGCACTTCCTGTCCGTCAACACGGAGAGAGTTGGAGCTGAGAGTTCGCAAAACTCTATAACATTCTAGATATTAAACTGGTGTTTTCCACTCTTTCCAATCTTCTTGTGAAACCCCTTCAGTACATCTAAATTGTAGTGTACTGTAAACATAATACTGTACTATTCCACATGTTGCCTAATGCCTCGTAAGCATTTGCCAGTTACCATAGTAACCATTTGCTAGTTACCATAGTAACCATTTGCCAGTTATCTACTTTTCTTAGTTGCGGTTTGCTCCCCAAGCCTCAAAGCCTGAAACTGATCTTTAAGTCTTGCTGAGGGTTAAGAGATTTGTCTGTTTTAATGACACAACAGGGATGGTAGGATGAGTGAGCCCAGGTAAGGGTGTAATTGAAGCCACCATTGAAAATATCTTCATAAAGTCAAAGACAAACATTTGCTTTCTTCTTTCTCTAGACATTTAGGGTGCAAATCGAGTTTTATTTTTCTACTTCTTCTTCAAGTATGTGGTTTTGGGAATTCGATTTTCAGATGGCTTGTCTTTCAAATGTTCAGCCTTTAAAGATAAACTGATGCTACAAATTCTCATTGACCATAATATTTATTCCGTTGCATAAGTTGCTGATTTAAATACAGTTTCAACGACAACAGTGATCACATCGTACAGCGACAAGACAAAAAAGTTTTATAAGTGAGATTCGAAAAATTTTTCAAACAGATTCCATGGGAAAAAAGATTTAAACTCTCGGCACATCGCATCACACCTTGTCGCTTTTAATTAAGACTTACTTTTGGCGCTTGGATTTTGAATGTTGTTTTTATGTGAAAAGGTAAGGGTTTTGATAGGTATCATCGTGAAATGAAACGTGGTGTAGATGATTGAAAACTACATAGTAACACTAGCACCCACTAAACAATTAAGAACAACAGAGCCTGGTTGATAAAACTATCCCAAAAATTTTCGCTCTCTTTTTCTAACAAAGCTTCAATAATCAAAATCACAGAACAGTTCCATCTTTGAAGGAGGCTGGAGGCCCCGTTTAGCTGAAACGTAGTTTTACAGTATTAGCTTTAACATGCCCTCATTGCCATTTTTAGCCTATAGTATGCTCCAACTTGACACCTAGTATGGATTATCGACCGCGCCTGATGAAGCCCTACGATTTGGTACTACTGGTCTGCTTTTGGCGATTACTCCTCAGAGTACCCAGTTGAATTATGTCTCTACTCTGCTTCGCACGTAATTTTCCCATTTCCTTTGCATTGTATAAAGTTGAAACTCACTCTTTACACTCTTCAGTGATACATAAACACATACATAACAACCTTTTTCATTTCAAAAGTCACAAAAAATAGAAGCCAAAAAGTCCAATTCGAAATTATCATCTGATTAGAGATTCTTGGACTTTTTCAAACAGAGTCAATGGGAGAAACATTTCGTCCCTCAACATTTAAACTTTTGTCGTTTTAAAGTAAAGCTTCGAAGTTGTTTAAGAATGTGACTTAGTTCTCTAGGGTTAGTGTTCGTACTGTATTATAATGCGTACAAATTTCCTTAACCAGAGGAATCACCAGAAATTTTCGTCAGAAACACTTTCTTTTTACGTTTGATCATCTTGCTGACAGGTATAACGTAAGGAAAATAAAACATCACACTTAATAAAACATCACACTTAATAAATAACATAACTTAATAAATAACATAACTTAATAAAGCCTGAGACTGAACCGTTTTTTTTTTCATTTTGTATTTGTTTATTTCTTGTAATAATTTTCCTATCTTTTTACTATCTATCAATTGTATTGACGTTCTCATCCTGATTCCAGTACCTGTTTCGTAAATCCGAATCCCCTAGTCTAAGGGAATCGCCTAGTATAGGCCTCTTTTGTTGCTCTATTTGTTACTCTATTTCTAGACTACTACCATAATTGAGTGCTATGTCATATAATCCTGTCATATGCTATGTCATATAATCCTGTCTACGACATTAGGTTTTGTCCATGGTGCGATGAGTACATTCATAAAAAGTGTTTTAGAGATAATTTAGGCTGCATAAAGTGCTGTGAGTCGTTAATCCCAGGTTATTATGTGACATCTTATGATCTTTTTATGAACTGTAGCATCCGAATCACTGCTCTTTTCAATCCATACGACCGCTCACATGGTTTAGATTTGATCGGTAACGCTTTAGATCAGGATAACGATGAAAGTTACCAATACTGGAACGAAATCAGCGATATATTAACCAATTGCAAGTATCAGCAGCCATCGAACATTAAAAGTTCCTCCCGTGATGAACTGAAAGTGTTTTCTCTTAATGTGCGATCATTAGTAAAGAACATCGGTAACTCGGTAATCTGCCGATGCACATCTGGGGCACACCTCGGGCACACCTGGGGCACAAACTCGGGCACACCTCGGGCACACCTCGGGCACACCTGGGGCACAAAGCACACCTCGGGCACACCTCGGGCAGAACCACCTGGGGCACACCTCGGGCACACCTCGGGCACATCTCGGGCAAAATTCGGGCATGGTAATTGGGAAACCTTGGGAAAAGAATCTGCATCGGCAGATTACCGAGTTACCACATCGGTAACTCGGTAATCTGCCGATGCACATCTGGGGCACACCTCGGGCACACCTGGGGCACAAACTCGGGCACACCTCGGGCACACCTCGGGCACACCTGGGGCACAAAGCACACCTCGGGCACACCTCGGGCAGAACCACCTGGGGCACACCTCGGGCACACCTCGGGCACATCTCGGGCAAAATTCGGGCATGGTAATTGGGAAACCTTGGGAAAAGAACCAGAGCAGTTAAGACTTAAAGGTTCGGACGGGTCGATTTTGAGTTCTGAAGATACCGTGGCTGAAAGGTTTAATGACTATTTCTCGAACATTGCTACGAACATCAAAACTCAGATAAGTGCCCGTCAGACCTTTGACCCTGGGGGGTTCCAGGAATATCTGCCCACATCCTGTTCTCAATCAATCTATCTCCAGCCTGCTGAAACGATCGAAATTCAAAGAATTATTATTGGTTTGAAGAACAAAGCGACTCTTGACACAAAAATTGAACCACTAAAAGTAGCCAGTTCCAGCGATAGTTTCCTTGCTATATTAGCAAAAGTTATCAACGAATCCTTAAGTACAGGCATATTTCCACAGGCCCTTAAAATTGCCAAAGTAACTCCCATCCATAAAGGAGGCTCTAAACTTGACGTTGAAAATTATAGACCCATCTCTCTCTTAGGTTCCTTCTCAAAAATCTACGAAAAACTGATGCACCGACGTGTCTTAGAATTTCTCAACAAAAATAGTTCTTTATTCGAAAATCAGTATGGGTTCCGTCCAGGAAGGTCCTGTGAACATGCTCTTCTTAATGCACAAAGTACAATTTTACACTCTCTTAGCAAAAACCAAATTTCACTACTGCTATTATTAGATTACAGTAAAGCGTTTGACGTCCTGGATCATGCTACACTGCTAAATAAATTACAGCACTACGGCATCCGGGGAATAGCTCTAAAGTGGTTTGAGTCATACCTAAGTGATAGAAGCCAATATGTAGCAATAAATAATTCACATTCGTCCCACAAGCCTATTGTGCATGGTGTTCCACAAGGGAGCATACTAGGTCCCTTACTTTTCGTCATATACATCAACGATCTTCCCGGTATTTCTAACATGATGGTAAAATTCATACTTTATGCAGACGATGCAAATATAATTATTAACGGTTCCAATGTCCAAGAACTAATGCTAAGGGTCAACCAACTAACGGAAACATTATCACGGTGGGTTAATAGCAACGGATTAGCACTAAATCTAAAAAAGACGTGTTATATGATTTTCTCGAAAAAGCGCATAGAACCATCATTGATTAAAGTACAAATAGAAAATACAGTATTAGAACGTAAAACTGAAGCCCGGTTTCTTGGTGTAATTGTAGATGAAAAGCTTAACTGGAGTAGCCACATAAAAGCACTGAGGAGCAAGATGTCAAGATTTATTGGGGTGATGTACAGGATAAAACATAAACTGCCAATGAAGGCCCGTTTACAGATTTTCCAAAGTTTTGTTCAGTCCCATTTAAACTTCTGCTCACTTGTCTGGGGATTTGCTTCAAAATCTCTTATAGAATCTCTTTTTGCTAAACAAAAACAAGGTATGAGGGCAGTTATGGCCGGAAATGTGAACTACTACTACAAGGACGGAAAACTGCCAGAGCACACAAAACTAGCATTTAAAGAACACGAGGTCTTAACCGTTCAAGGGGTTATCGTTAAAAACGCACTTATTTTACTGCACAAAGTTCGAAATATGTCTAGTTTGTTACCTAAATCGATTTCAGAACTTTTCCCTCCTAACACACCCAAACAAGGAACGACACACGAACAAAACTTAGACTGGTTATCAATTTACTCACAGACTGACCTGAGATCTAGCATCTTTTATAAAGGCCCACTGCTCGCTATTTCAGAGCATAACACTCGCATTACATGCCCATCCAGTATATTTTCTATCAACATATATAAGAATTCGTCAAAAAAAGTACTACTAGACTTGCAAAGTGCTGGCTGCAACGACGAATGGCCACCATTTTTACTCCACAACCTACCTGGATTACGTAAATCACAAAGAACATAGTCAATAATCACTCAAAACCAAACTCATACAGCTCAAATTAAACAATCTGAATCAGGACAACATTTCAAACCACCTGCCATTCTAACAGCACATTCCTTATTTCACTGCCACATAGCGCATATCTACACTGATAACACACCTAATTGCGGTGAGGCAGCATCATAAAGTTACCAATATCAAATATGTTTGCAGATCAGGGCCAGTCGACTCGACCAATAAAATTTTAATCGAATAGTTTTAATAGATAACGTCACAATTATAATCTGCGTGCCCCTCGGGGATGAATATTTAACTTATTTCAATTATATATTACTTTTGAGTAAACATTGGCTGGTACTACGGACCAGTCCCCCAACCAACCAACCACTGTATTCAAAGCCGTACAAATGTATATTAATATGTAGGTTCACTACAATTACCAATCTCACCCCTTGACACGTATACAACAGTGCAGACAGACTGTATGTATCCAGGAAATTACCAGCGCCAAAGTAAGAACAGATCGTGGTCACGTGGTGTATTCTGAGGACACGTGACAGCAACACACGTGACCAAACAAACACTTAATACTACCAAAATTGGACATTACTCTACAACTGTCTCAGCCAGGAGTTCTAACTCCACACAGTTATAACGTCGTAATACCCCTTTGGCTTTATGTTCGAATGTTAGGTCTTTTATGTGTTCGTTCATAATATGACGTACATACCAATTACCAAAGCTAGTAAATTACCGGATGTTTTATTATAATTTTTGGCATCGTTCAGGTTATTGCTATTGTTTCTCGTTTACTGTAATCAGCTATATCAACGACTCTAACAACTTCCAGTGAAGCAGCAAGGACTCCAAAAATTTCGATAAGACATGCCAGGAAATCAGTGTGATCCAGGCTTTGAGAGAAACACTACAAAAAGGTGCTGACAGTAAAACATACACATATCGATAAGTCCCTGAACGGAGGAGTTAGGACTAAGAGCCGTGTTTATTGGTTGTTTGGAGGGTCTCCAGTCACCTGATAGGTCCGTAGCCCTGATAATAGCACCTGATAGGTCTATATATCCCTGATAGAGCCGTCTGTATGGCTGATATCCTGGTTAGACTCGCCTTGTGGGCTAGTGTCTCGGATACAGGCATCGTTCACGATATCGTCACTTTAATACAGTCGTAATGTATCTATTAGATAGTATCTACTTTGAACTAGCCTAAATTAACAGCAGTTTTACAGTGCTTCTAGTCCCCGCTACTCGTGGGGAAAGCACACACATTATTTTTTCTAGTCGTATTAGTCCTAAACTCATCTCCTGATCCGGTTATAATACCTCTAAAAGAGTTAAAGTGTGTCACTGCTGTGTACTACTTATTATTTCAATGTTTTCCTCCCCGGAAGTCGTCATGATATACGACAGTCTGATCTCGTAGATGTGCACTGTGTATGGGGTATTCTGGTAATATGTGATATGTGTAGAGGCCAGTGTAGAGATTACAATGCCCATACCAACATGCCAGCTCTACAACTGATCAATTGGCGCTTGTTTTTATGTCACTTTGTGTAAGTAGGCACTTCAATATGACGTGGTAAACTGGTGTAGTTATTTTGTATTTTTATTAAATTAATACATACTTTATTTAAAGCTTGGTGTTTCCATGGTGGTAGTTTTTATTGATGTCTTGATTCTAGATCCCCTAACGTTATCCACTTAACTGTTGATGGACTTAATTAAGTATTAATTAATTAATTAAGTATTTTAAACCTGTTCTGCCACACTGAATTCGACAAACCCCTGCGTTCATTAAGAAAGCTTATTCGTATAGCTTACTACTCTGTTCTCGGCTCTTTTACTACTCTAACTTACTACTATGTTAAAAAAACTTAATAAAGTCTTAAAAATTTCACCTAAAGTCGTACACATTTAAACTTTTCCCAATATAATAATTGGATCTCTGCCACACTGAACTTGACAAACCGAATCAGCGAATACCAAGCAATAATTATTGTGATCTAATACCCCCGCGTTCTTTAAGAAAGCTTATTCCTATACAGTCGGGCCCTATACTACAGCTTCCTACCCTGTTCTTGTCTCTTTTACCACTTACCACTAGGTTAAACATTACACCCAATCACCTATATTAAAGGCTACTACCTGTAAATTCCTGTATCATCTGTGATGTACCAACTTCCAACAAAGTATTTCGCAAATTAGGTGCAGTCCTTCAGAATAGGTTCACAGGAAAATTCTCAAGGATTCTCTTTGCTTCGTGCTACGGCCAGGAATACCATTGGAATGTTAGAAATTCGAAATTACAACACCCGAGTTATTGGATAACTTAAAGTTTTATCTGGGTGTGCTTAATTTTGTACTATTTTTAGTTAATTTTAGAGCTACACGGTTCATCCGGGGTTTGGTACTATCTTCACCTTACTTATATTACTTTGCGTACCCTATATAAATGCAAAATAATTTAATTTAAAATTCCAGATCATCGGGAAGGGTACTAATTGTTATCGCTAATTATGTATGAATTCAAATTGACAGTGGACCAACATGCCCACTCGCTGTCAGTTATTCTGGACTCTCACTTTATGACGGACCTTATATGACCGATAGTATGACCGATATTACATTTGATGTTCAACTCCATTTGGGAGCATTCAGAAACTTTGCATTTGATATCTGGTATAGTATTGGCTTTTAAGTTTTATTGTCCTGGCAATTTTGCAGTATTTAGCAATTAGATTTATTCGCTAGCGGCTAGTGGCTCGTTAGGCTCTTGACCATTTTTAACAGGTGGTATGGAACGTGATTTAATAGTTGTACCTTCCTGTATATATACAGGTCTTTTGGTTGTGTTACTACGTTTTAAACTGAAATTCCAATCAGTCACCAGATGTCAATAACTTAGCGACATTATCAAAGTGGAAAATTTTGGCTTCCACACTTTGAACGTAGACATTTTAGAGACACGTTATTTATTTTGATTTCATTGATTTTCAAAAAGCCTTCGATTCTGCCAGGCATTAGATTAATATATTATATCTAATTCGCAGTTTTTAAGTTGTTAAAAGCATCCATTTCACATTGTACCAGCTTTTATACATTAACACGTTTAATAAAGTATCGGTCTGTCGCCCGTCCAGACTCGTGCTGTACAACGTGCCGTACAACGTGCCGTAGAACGTGCTAATTGCTATCAAGGTTCGAACATCAGTTTCCAGGCAACAACCATACTCTATCTTTCTCTTAGGGTTTGGGCACCAAAACGGCTTCCTCTCTTTTCTTTTGAGTTCGGTTACCCAACAACAGCGGTACCCTATTTTAACCTGAGGGTCCGGTTGTTTGGGACTCGGAATGAGCGTAAACTGTGCGGTTCAACATGGCTACAATTCAAGTAAAGGTCATTGCCTGAATTTGTATTATTATCATTTATATTTATAACCTTTTAACGTATCAATATTATTGCGAGTAAATGCTAGTCACTATGTTAATACATCTGGCATAGTAACTAGTATTGTGATTTTCATTGCCAAGTTTAATATAAAGCTAGAATGTTTAAGGTTATTTTTGGCTTCGTTGGATAACAGTCACAACTTTCACAGGGTAACAAAAACAGTAATAGAAACGAGTACAATCAGAAACGTCTGGTAACGCGCCGTAAGAAGAGCTCAAGTCGCCTAATATCCGAGGACACAGCGCTAGGTATGTTGACGGATTACCTTTAAACATTGTGTCTCGTCTTTATTCCATGTTTTGTTTCGGAGCTGAACCAGTAGATCTTGAGAAGCAAACCACATGTCTCATAGTGAATATTTCAACTTTAAACTTATACCTTAACGGAATGTTAACCCGCCAGGTATAAGATCAGAGAGGAGCAGCAGTTCTTCTTCAGAAGAGGAGGAGCTAATCAAGACCCGTCTTGGTGACACCCTAGAAGACATCAGATCTGATACACCACGCACACAAGGCAAGCATTGGGTCCCTACTCAGTGTTGTTTTGTTCTCGGCTAAAACTTTATGTATTATATTATGTATTATATTATTATTAAACTGAGCTGGTATTCTGTTGTCACATTCCAGGAATAACTTCTCCTGAAGATGATGTATTTGTCTGTACTGCCGAATACTAAGTTTACCTGTCTGCTTCTACCAACTAGTCATCAAATTAGTTCATAATCAACACTAACACGTACTGCAAATTTTCCTTACAAATTTAACGTTTACCTAAACGATTACTCTCAACCAGGTGACAAGAACCTAAACAGTAACCTAAACAGACAGCAGTCAGAACGGCGGATATCTCGGCGAGACATAGTCGCACTGCTGGACGAACAGAGATCTTTTAGGGAGGAACTTGAGGACATCAACAAAACCAACTTCAACCTAGAACACCTTCTGTCAAATTGGTAGGGGATATACTTTAATCTGGATGAATTCCAACGTTCAATATTATTATTCCAATATTATGGCTCGTCACATCCCGCATATCAGCAGGACATTCCAGAGAGAATGCTGCTGACGTGCTAATTCGTAAAGGAGGATCTACAACTAAGACGCGATATAAATACCTTAATATCCAAATAGTACTACAAATTGTGTGCTCCGAGTAGTGTGAAAACATAAAAATTTAAGGAGGGTTGCCCTGATACAAAACTCAAAAGTGCTGGACTTAATTGATAGTGTTTGGAACTCGGCCCGTTTAAGAATTCAAGAGACTTGCCAAAGAACTCAAAAGTGCTAGCCGTAATTGACAATTCAGGAACTCAGCACTCCCTCGACACACTAACCCAACCCTGCCTCAGTGCATTGAAGGTAGAAAATCTCAACAGAAAACTACTGCTTGTTGAGTACGAACTGTCCGATATCAACGGAGCAGATTTCAGCAACATTAACAGAGCTGACTATAACAATCGTGATCAGCCGGAGATGAAGTGGGTAGGTGATATTGGGCTACTAGTTGGTGATGTGCCAAGATTATTGTGCCAAGATTATTGCTCTACTTAAACTTTAGTTTTTGAAAGAAAGGTTCAATCTGTGGTTGAGTAGCGATATTAAGAACTCAGCTCGATATCTAATTAACTGTTATCAAGTTTAGTGATAACCTGTTAGCACGAATTATTATTTGTATCGTATGCACAACAGTTAATGGATCTAATTTAGTATACCCAGACGGTGCCACACCAAACTCGCCTTATTTCTAACGCAACCCAAAACGTGACCTTACATTCCAACTACTTAAAAAGCGATCAACGCATTTCAAAAGTAAATATGTACTCTGCAGAAGGAAAGCAAGGAGAAAAGAGAAGAGAAGGGGAAGGAAGGGTGTGTGGAAGAGGAGGAGGAACTCCCTAGAAGCGGCCCACTGAGAAGATCGGAGGAGAAATGGGACTTAGCAAGTCCCAGTCCAACTTTCGACCATGGCAGACACAAGTTGGAGAAATACGCCAAAATCCACGGTTTGTATATATAACACCCTCGAGACTGCTAAAATTAGTGCCGAGCCCATAACATATTGGCCATTAAGTCTGCATATTACATGGTTGAGGTTACGCTTTACAATTTCCTGAGGTCATAGAAATTGCAAATATATTATATTGCGCAGAGATGAGAAATAGCACGATTGTTGGTCTATCCTATCTCTAGCATTACTGACAGAGTACACTGCAACATTCCTTTAGGTTCTCCAGTTCTGTAATTGCGGGCATTTGCACATTCTATAGCATTTGCCTAGGGTATGGGGATGAGGTTTTTTCTCTTACGTTTCTACTGCGCAGTGCTAGAACATGCTTTAAGATGTATAAGTTGATAAGTTTTTTGACGTTTGGTAGTGTTGTAAACACGCTGTGCTTTCATCGCTAAACTTAAAACATCCCTGATTTAAGAGCATGACGGTTACTACGGGTTTGCGATAATCTTACAACGTGTTTGTATGACTACGTATCACTACATCCCCATATATACGAATAAGTATTAAGTAACTCCTGGCTCTTACAAAACTTTAACACATTTCATTTACACCTGACTTGTTTGCTGTGTTATTAAGTTTGTTCTTGCTCCGCATCGTTACACCAAACTGGAGACCCTGCCACTCTAACTAAACGAGCTTTAGATGTGGATACTGGTGGGGAGGTGAAACCTATTTTCCTGGCAACGTGACAGGGGTTAACCAACCACCTTCCAGCATTGACCAATCAAATACCAGAATCACTGTCACGTGTCAAAACAAATATTTTTCACCTCCCTACCAGTATCCAGATGTGTAATTGAACAAGCTCTCCTGCCCTCTGTTTGCCCGGCCGTTTATTCCAAAGAAAGTGCATCTAGTTAGTAATTATCTGCAGTCTTTAGTTCGATATCTCCACGCGCTTACAGTTATACTTTGTACTGATACTTACGGCCGTCAACAAGGATTCAACCGCCTTAACGGTCTGAGTATCTGACGAAAACATGCCCGTAGGTATTGTAAAGGTTGAGATCGAGATGTATAGCAGTGCTGACGATTTCGAGACCACCACTGATAACAAGGAGTCGGAGGAGTTAGAGAATTTTCTTGAAGATTTTAAGACAAACAGCGATTCTGAAAACACCTTTTCTTATGGTGACAAGGACAAAACCAATGAACGTAATGGGGGCGTCCTCGAGAAAAAAGCTGAATTGAGGAAAGAAATTCCATCAACCAGCAAACCTTTCCGATTTAGCACTCGAGATGAACTTGATGGACCCAAGGACACGTTCAAAATTGATCACAACATTCATCCTAATCCAGTTGATGATTCTTCTGAAAGATCAAAATCCGATTCAGTTCACCATCAGCCCTCATCTGCAGCTGTCGAGTACAGTCTGGTTGATCCAGACAAAGATATCTTCAGCCAAAGCATTCACAGCAATGACACTTTAGAGCAAATCAATATAGTATTCCCAGCTGAAGATCCACCTCCCAGTAGTAGAATGGCTAAAACAAGCAGTACTGTTGACATGGCAACAGTTATACCGGACAAAGAGCAAGACTTGTTGGCTGGCTGGATGGACGTAGGTACCACGCTGCTGGGGGAGGAGGACGGTTTGGGAGGAAGTTGGGTGGACGATGTGTTGAGACAGTATGACAGGGAGAGCAGTAGAGAAAGAGAGAGTCTCTCTGAAACTGCGCTCAGTAACGGCTTAGATTTTAGACTGGTGAGTTATTACTTTAACTCACTTGGCGAGTTATTATTTTTTGCCTAGCACAAAAAACTTTGATGGTTTTCTAAGCACCTCATGTTTCCAGCCTATGGCAATATAGCATGTTGTAAATTATCGCAAGATCAATTATTTCAGGAAACGATGTCATCCTCTTCATTTTTCTCGGAAGGTGATGATCGAGTCAGACATGGAGAAGAACCATCCTCGCTAGAGAAACGGATATCGGATAAGAATAATGGTTACTCTGAGCCAGAGATGTCAAGACATGAATCACCAGATTATGACTCTGTCTTCAGTCCAAATGCAGATAACGATTGGCCAGGTCCTGGAGAATTTGATCTCTCACTGGAGGCTGGGAAGATTAGTCCCGATAAACCATTTATGACTCCAAACTCAACGAGATCCTCGGTGGGCAAAAAAGATTCGAACTCAAGACGTTCATCAGCTGATCATGCGAAGATTCCGGAGTCGAATTCAAGAAGATCTTCCGTCGACAAAAAACTTTCAACTTCAAGCTCCAGACGATCTTCACTTGATAATCGAATTTCTACTCCTGATTCCTCAAGGTCATCTCCAGGAAGACGAGGATCCTCGCCAGACTCACGAAGACCGACTCCGGATATACGGAGCTTCACTCCGGACGTGATACCGGAAGAAACCATTGCGGATCTTCCTGAAGCTGATGACAATCACGAAACTGCTAAAGCGAAATATTCAACCAGTGACGTATTCAACGATCCTTGGCTAAACTCTATTTCTAGCATAAACGACCTGAAGAAATACACGGAGAAAGAAGAAGTTGTTGCTGACGAGGCTGAGATAAAACAACAAGAAGATGACGAATTGGATGCGTTATTGGCGGATCTTGAAATAACAGTAGAGGACATAAATAAGTCGTACAACACCCCGACTATTAGGATAGAATCTGGTGTTGAGGATGGTGCCAATCTTACTCTTAAAAGACACAGGGTAATAAAAAAAATTATATGTTTTAAAAATAGATCCTAAACAGAAGAAATTTCTAAATTTCTATCCAAAATTAAGAAAACTTTTAGAATTTGTCGAACCCTTCAACAATCATAACATTACTCTCTAGGACGACGAGATAGAACCGAACTCTCCATCACCCTTCACGTCACCCATGACAGAAACAGACGGGTCCGAGTCGATGAGTAACTTTGGACTGGACAGACAAAACTCCCGATCTCACAGCATCTTCGACATGGAGGACTCGGACGAGGAACGGCGCCGCAAGTGGAGGGAACGACCCTTCCCCAAGCGGGCAGCTCGCAGCTTCTTTGCAAGGTTGTGCGCATGTTGGCACCATTGAAGCAAGGTCTGTGCATCTTTTGGGAACGAAGCTGTGTTGAATGTTGGAAGAAGTATTTTCATGAATGTTATTTGTGTTTTTGTTGCCCATGCCCTGCATAACTGCATAGTACTGTAGTAGTATGTAGTGCACACTGCATAGCATTAAAGCATCCGAGCATTATGTTGGATTATGTTGCATCGCAGTGTATATCTAGGTTTAGTGTTACTGTTTAAACAAGCAATTTTATTCTGTAAATGACATTTTTAGTACAATTATTGTAAAACGCAAATCTGTAATTCTCCAACAACCTGCAGGATTGGTAGAGACTGACATTATGAAGCTAGCGAAGCCATCTGCCTATCACTGGCGTCAACAAATTCAGCTCAAGATAATCCAACAGATATACGACATGCTCAAAATGTAGCAAACTTCATTTCGTCCTCTTTCCGAGACCTAACTAGGTGGAATCTTGCATGTCATAGCCATGATGTATTTCTGACTTCTAATTAATGTACAAAGATAACAAAGAAAAGATCAGGATCGAGTAAAGAATGTGTGTTATTAACGCTGCTCAAATAATATCACTCATTTCGAGATTTGGTATAAATATAAAGATATTTTAACAATTTGGTGAAATGAGTATCATCATCATATGCCTTGCCTTTCACTCTGGATAGAGAACCTTTTTTTCCATAAAAAGGATTATCTATAATTCGTCTGCACACCTGCACTCAACTGATGAGCAGTGCCTACCAGCACTGTGATGATATAAACAATGGTATTTTACGGAAATTCTTCAACGACAGAACACGCAACTATTCCAAAAATTCAATTCAGAATTGACTCATTAGATGACGTAATGGTTAGGAATGTCGAATGTGCTCACTGTCGTTTTCTGTCGTTCATCACGAATGATTTTCAAGTTTCTTGAGTATTCTTGGAGCTCATAAAATGGTGACAGACTTCAATATTGATTGGTAAAGAAAAATTTGTTTTTTGTGCAATTTTAGCTTTCAATTTTGATTCGAAGACTTGATTTTTGTGATGATAATTTATTATTTTCTAGAATTTATTTATTTGTTATGTTAATTAACCGTTAATTAAGTACAAAAATTTCGATATTTTATATATAAAACTGGTATTTTCGATTGTTAAACGTTTTTCAAGGTGGTACGGACTAACGGGTTGTCAATGGAATTTATTAACAGTTGATTAAATGTGACAGATTAAAAGTTAAAGGTTGACTAAAAGTTACAAAACTTGTGGAATTGATTCTGAGATCAACACATACCTCTGTTAAGACTGTTATACATGGCAGCCTTTAACGTGGTGTGATTGCTGGCTTTTAAAGCCTAATAGTACGAAACCGTTGCCAATAGTTAAATCCAGCAAGACGACTAGACTATTGCTTCATATACTCAGTATATGAAGCAATAGTCTAGTCGTCTTGCTGGATTTAACTATATGATATACTGTTATATATGATATACTGTTAATCGTCATCATCAGTCATAATTTAACATGTAAACACTAAACATCCCCAGCTTCCCTTAAATTTTCCAACAGTTTTTAAATTTTTTTATACGAGTGCTGTCTTTTCGAATAAAATAAGTTAAACTCACAGGATCGCCCTCTCCTCTGTCAATAACATTCCGATGAAGGACCTCTATGAGCACTTTGACATCGTTCGTAAAGAACAGCTCTCCTGTATCAGGACTACTGAACAAGTCTAACATTATCTTCCTGACTCCGTCCTTTGATTCGGGGAAGTATCCCGTCAGGTTTTCTGAAGGGCATGGATTATTACAACTTGAGCACGTGACTTTTCATCGATTTGTCCGAGGTTTTCAAATGTTTTTCAAGGTAAACTAAGCATCTTAGTTTTGTGCTCGAACATTCCAGGATTTAATTCTCCAATAGAAGGGCTAAGAAATTTAATCATGAAAGTATTACTTAAATCAAATAACATTTTGCTAACCTGCCCTGTTGAAAGAAACTAGTAAAGTCTCTGAAAGTACAGTCGCGTGAGCTCGGCTCTTCAAAACGTTACAAACTTTGTTATTGCGTAAATCTGAGAAAATCGATTAAGCCTTTTAGATTATTACACTTGTACTTTGCAGTCAGATAAGTAAAATAAAGCACTTACAATAATTCGTCGAATTAAAAATAAGAAAAAAGGATCGAATAAGAATTTGTGCCGCAAGCTGTATCTAACAAAAGAAGCGCTCATGACAAAACGTGTTGCCCTACCAGCCGCAGCAATCCAAAAATAAGTGTATCGTAATAGCTTAATATTTGAGCGAACGAATCATTTCGTATCTCTCGCTCTTGCAATCGGTCCAATACAAACCGTACAATCGCTCATACCAAAAACTTAGATATATCTTTGCCATTGTACAAGGCAGAATCAATTCCATGCGCTTATAGAGACAACACCCAACCCGAGGAGAAGGCAAGCAGTATAAAAGTAGCCCTATCACTAGAACATCCTCACAAACAGTTTGATCTACTTGGATTAGCTAGTTCCTGCCACCGAAATCATGACTTTGCTTATCAAGATTCTACCTCTGCTTTTAGTAGGAGCTCTGGTGACCTTGATGCCCAGCAAGGTGGAAACTGCATTTCCTGTCCGGTGGGATGCACAGCTTGAGACTGCCGAGGTTGAGGCTGCCGTGGCTGCCGAAAGTGAAGAGGATCAGTTTCCAGATTACATGTTCGGTGATTGGGGCAAATCTGTGGAGTCACATGCAAAGTAACCCTGGTCTGTAGAGAGACCTTGGCACTGGCTGGATTTAGAGTGGGACGAAGACGATCTTGAAGCTTCCAGCATGAATGCAGCGATCACAAATTCGGTCGAATGATGGCCGATGGAACTACTTGGGGGAGAAAGGACTCAGACTGAATATTTTCGATATTTTTGTTGTTCTTTAAATTGATTTCCTCTTTGTTTAGATTCCTTTCACTTTATAGATTATTGTATTATTTGTGATACGAACCATGTGTGCAAAAAATGAAGTTACTGTACAAAAATCATACAAAAAAATACGATCGTCAATTCATGTTGACAAAATTAGTGTCTAAAATTCTAATTTCAAGCCTCAACAGCTTCATCGAAATTAAATCCATTAAATCTCATTTCATAAACCAGAATGGGAGCCAGCATCTTCATAACCGTATATAAGCTGATAAATCACAAGTATTGTATTGTATCAGATGCCATCGTGGAGTAGGTGGTCTCCTGCACCTTTTCCGCCTCGATATAAAAGAAAAAACATAGACATACAACCTGCAATCCGAAGGTGATTGCAGCCCTTACGGAAGACTATCAGGTCTTCATGCTTATATGTTACATAACGATAACTTGTAAACCCCAGAAGTTTCCAGTATCGTCATGAATCGATATACTTACTGAGCTTAGTGTCACTTGGCCATGAGAAAAGCTGGGATTGACCGTAAAATTGTATAGAGATAAATGCCCTTCGTAACATTTATTCCTCTGAATTAAAAACAACGTAGGTGTAAAGTATGAATCAGTATGAATCGTGGTGTGAAGTAAAATTACAAGCAGCTGGCCTTTAGTTCCTAACCACATGAATGTGTCAGTTTACTTCAATCACTCATGATCACATATTGATGCACTACACAATTCAGGTAACTATGAAGTTAACATTCCACAATCGGGGCAAACAGATAATCCACATTCCATATCACCTGTGTAGTGGAGATTGAGAGACAGAACGCACTTCAGGAACATGACCGGTATCAGGTTCTCTGGATCGTAGGGACTCTCTTCAGCTTCAATAGCAGTCATCAGATACGATATAAACACTTCGTCTAGTTGATCTGTGACGGTAAAATTTAGTTAATTAATTAATACAATCCCTTTTTTATTCTTAGAGACAGTTTTTATCGCTTACAGAGTGCAGAGGAAGAACTTGGTTTAGTTTCAAGTTTGTAACTTTAAGACGATTTATAATATTCAGATATGCACAGCATAGGTCATAGATTTAAGATTACCTTACAATTGCACTAATTCTTGAGTTTTGTGAGTACTCCAAATAAGCTATATATAGCATTTTGCTCCTTTATAAAATATTTTATTGTTTTTTTAAATCGGGACATTATTTTTGAAACACCCTGTATTTAGAGTACTACTAGATCTTGAAGGTGCAGTTTTAAAACTAAGAATTATAAAGTTAGTACCGTAGTGATTGCGCGGCATTGCGTTTGGGTACGAGAGACAAGCACAGAACACATTACACTGCTGCTCCAGTAAGCTCATGACTTTGTTCGCCTGGGAGCAGGGTCGGTTACAGTCTTAATTCGTAAAATATCAATGATACCTTGTAAAAACTCGACAGATTTTGCAGGGTATCAGTCACATTTTCAATGTTCATAATCTTTAAAACATCTAGAATTCTTGACTTATTAGGAATGTAAGGTTTTAATATGATATGACAATTACCAAATCTAATCAGTAACTATGTGCTCCTCTTGGAGATGTTAGGTTGAAATAGACAATCTACGAAAGAGTAAGTGTCTATTTTGACCTTAAATAGTTGCAAACATGATGTCTATTTCAAACATGAAGCTGAAGGACAGATAATATCCGTACCTGGATATCAGAGGCAAGTTGTACAGGAAGCCGGGAGGTTAGAAGGATAGAGCAGATAGGATCAGGTTGTATTAACATACTTTCGTGTAGAACCTGCAGTGCTTGCTTCTTCAGCGGCTTTCGTGTCTCCTGCAAACTATCAGGTCAAATACCAGTGATGGGGGCCGGCCGCTGGGGTGCAGGTGGCCCAGGGGTGTTGAGGCATGTGTACATTGGGAGATTTCTTACAGGGTGGCCCAAAAGTGACTACCCACACGCAACCTCTTAATAACTCACGTAATTCGTCTCCAAATTGCACCAAAATTTCAGAGATTATAGATATGGGTCAAACTTAGATTTCCTGAAAGTTTCGTAAGCCACGCCCAATTACATTGGGCGTGGCGTGACACTCCCTCTTTTTCACTATTGTCTTCATAAAATGAGAACACTTTAAGCTAAGAACTCAAAATTTTTTGCACACATTTGGCTTGATAATTGAAAACCTTTCCCAAAGTTTCAAGTTCATTGGTTAAATTATGGCTGAGTTATGACCATTTCAAAACTCATCGGATACGTGATCCGAGCACTTAGTCAGTGATCTTTGCACTCAATTAGTGATCTCGTCACCCAATCTGATCAAGAGTAAGGCGTTAGCGTTTATTAATGAGGTTCATTAGGCTTTGATTGGATACCGATAATGACTTGTCGTTTGATCTGAGGGTAGAACTCCCCATTTTCTTTCTTCAGGTAGACGAACAATCGTTGTTCTGCAGTAAAGGGAGAATAGTGAACCATTTTCTGCGGGGCCCTAAGTTACGCCACTGCTAACAAGCCCTGAAATGGTGACACCACCATTAATTCGTGTGATAGCGTTTTAGGTGCTGTCAGCTGTATAGGCCGGCCCATAAGCAGGCTGCAACCAATCAAGCGGTGCATGTGAGCCAAACAGGCCATTAACCAAGTGCAGAGATCACTGACTAAGTGCTCGGATCACGTATCCGATGAGTTTTGAAATGGTCATAACTCAGCCATAATTTAACCAATGAACTTTAAACTTTGGGAAAGGTTTTCAATTATCAAGCCAAATGTGTGCAAAAAATTTTGAGTTCTTAGCTTAAAGCGTTCTCATTTTATGAAGACAATAGTGAAAAAGAGGGAATGTCACGCCACGCCCAATGTAATTGGGCGTGGCTTACGAAACTTTCAGGAAATCTAAGTTTGACCCATATCTATAATCTCTGAAATTTTGGTGCAATTTGGAGACGAATTACGTGAGTAATTAAGAGGTTGCGTGTGGGTAGTCACTTTTGGGCCACCCTGTATTTCAGCTGATAAATATTCAAAATGTATTTTTTGCGCGGCCAATTTATTAAGTTATTTCTGAAAATCAAGTAGGATGATCACAGTAGGATGATCAAGTAGGATGATCACAGTATTTCATCTCTCACCAGTTGATAGTACTCCACAAGAGTAAGCAGAGGCTCATATTTCACAGACTGTAGCACTTGTATTACCACTTTAGGGTTAGCGTTAGTTAGCAGTCCCAGTAGGTCAGTTAACATTGTACTGATTTCCTCAGTGTCATCTTTACAGCTCCAACCTGGCGGTGGTAAAAGGTAATGAGATAAAACACAGTGTTTGTTTCCCACTGGTATCAATAATGGATATGTAAAATTTAAATTGCCCTTGTCACAGCAGCTCTCCGTCAAAGTATCTATTATAGAATGTAGGTTGACTAATTATAATCAGGAATTTGCTGACATACATGGGAGTTGATAAATAATCAAAAGTAGTACATTCGGCAAATTAAAATTACCATTAGCGATACCACAGGACAGTTTTACTTTTTTATAGATTGATTTGGAATACAAATTCAGGAAAGCTTTGGAGACTTCAAAATACAAATCCAACTTTATTTTTTCTTGATTTTTCACACCTCGCTGTTGATCATCCTCCGTCAGAGCGATCAGTTGTTCGAAAAGCTGCTCCAATTTCAAACTATCCACACTGTTGCTCTGGAGATCTGCCTGATAAAACATGAACGATCATTCTAGAGCGAACCCCTATTTTCGGCAGTCGGTCGAGTGACAGACAGGAATATTAAAGAGGAAGCCAACCAACATTAATACTCTCGATCTCTGATACCAATAACCAAGTGTTCCGTAGAAATAAAGTACAATTATGTGGGTAGTATTCAAGATAGTATCAACTTATCAATTGATGATCTTCATTTGGACCGTGACTTGTAAAACGTGACTTGTACAGCGTTTCGAGCAGTATTAATATGATATGGTGTTATTAAGTGCCAGAAGAATGCAGTGACATATGTATTTGTATGTACAAATAATGGGCATTATTTTGTGACAGGCACTTGTGAAAAGCATAAACCACCTCTAGTGAACGTATAAGTGGGCTGGATAAGTGAAAGAGAAATCGAAAGTGAAAGTGAAAATGAAAGTGAAACAAACCTCCTGATTAAGAGCTCTACACAATCCTGCTAGCTTTTCATCCCAATCTGGGTACTCCTCACTTAGTCTTTCTAACACTGTCTGTACTATATTCTTACTGAAATAGACTTAATTTGGAAACATTTCCTTGTGTTTCATAGAATTGTTGTTGGTTTAAAAGTATAAATTCACGAAATTCTTCTTAAGAGCATCTCTTTTTAGACAGTACCTAGTCTGGTACTTGACTCCATTCCTCCGTACACCTTCCACAAGGCTACTCGATATTCTGACACACTCCGCTTTTTTGCCTTTCTGCATTAGGGACGGTCCTGAGGCACAGTATACTTGAGTAAATTATATGATAATTTACATATTTATAAAAGTGTTATATATTATGTAACACTTTTTAAATAAATAGATTATCATCATGATATAATCGAATAGTATAATATACATATATAACTTACATATGTATATTATATTATTTGATTACATCATGATGAGCTCTGCTTGAGATTATAAAGCTCCAAAATTGATTCAGCTAAATGTGTAAAAAGGATCGGGCTTCATATATAAAAATAAGATTAATACATAATGAATTTAATTTTAAAGAAATGTATATTAAATGAGAATGACTCAAAAGGATACTAAAAGAGTGAAGTTAAATTAAACGAGAAATTATTAATAGTCTGGAATATATAACATAAATTATTCAACAAGCTTTTTGAACATTTTTAAACGATTAGCAGAACAATTGTAACAGCTTTTATCAGAAATCTTATTGAACTTATAAGCTTTTACAACTTGCCAGCATGCGTATTTTTAAACAGACATGCAGAATACCTTTGGAGCCTCCTCCTTTGCGATCCAACGTCCTATCAATTTGAAACAGCCTTGCTCTAATCTGATCAGGGGAAGCAGGAACCAAGTCCTTTCTGTCTCCCGAGCTGGGGATCAGCAAGTTGTCCTCATCGTCCAGGAACATTTTACTGAATCTGATATCGTCTAGTTCATTAAGAAACTGGTCCACTTGCCGGTTAAATGCCTCTGTGTCATGCAGAATACCTTTAGAGGGCGGAATGTTCTCTTTAGAACTGTCAATAATAAGAGCTGTCTGGGTACTTCCTCCGAAGCTATTGTTGGCTTTTTCTGAACCCGGCTTTATTCCACTAGTCTGGGTCGCTGGAAGTTGTGATCGGCGAGCTTTAAGCGGTCGACTGTAAGGACTTTTTGAGAGCTCGAACGGATTGAAAACGCTCAACTGTTCACTGGACAAACCGACAGATTTGCTGATTTCTTGATACACCGGCAGATTCTTAATCACTTCAACTTCAACAGATCTCCCAGAATTCCCAGTAGGACCAGTAAGACCAGTAGAGTAGATGCCTCCATCAGGACACTTAACACAGGAACATGAGGAGCACGTAAAGGTAAGATCAGTAGTGCTCGTCTCCGCTACCTTAAACTTAGGCTCCCGGTCAACTCTCTTAGATATCGGAGAAGCGAAGACTGTCCTGAAGAACTGATGTGCATCTGTGGGAGCCCGACGATGTCGCTGGACCTCTTGGTAAGTAGTATCTGCCCCCTCGTAGAACACATTGTCATCATGATCTCCTTCGTGTAGGACGGACATGTTCTGAGCGGCAGACAAAGAGTTGGTGCACGTGTAACTGTCTAGTTGTGTGGATGTCTCTGTGGAACCAACAGAGCTGGTGAGGGAGACGTCCACTATTTTACCCGTTTTAAAGTCGTATCTGGCGGCTCTGATACTCCGCTGCTGTTTTCTTGATCTGTATCTGGACGAAGGCTTGGACCGGCGTGTTTTATGCGGTGTGGACTGTCGGATTGAATCATATAAAATCACTGGCTCAGGTCTTTCAACCAGTTTGCCACTTTTATTGGGGCTTTGTTCGGGATTTAAAAGGTAAACTAAGCTGTAATCTTCCCTGACAAATTGTGACAATTCCTGTGCTGAGAGTTTGTTAAGTGCTTCACACACAATTGTTTGCTGCTGGTCAAATGGTAGCTCTGAAAACTGCACAGCATAATCAGTCGAATCATAACCCCCAGCTGCAGCTTCACAACAATCAGTACTAGTAAGATCAGCTTGATTTGTGGTGACGTCACAGGATTGTTTGGTGACGTCATCATCGAATAGTTTGTTACCTGAAGTGCGGTCAATGGTGGATGCACGAGGGATGGAGCTGATGTCTGCTTTGACGAGTGGAGTCTGGTGACTTTGTGTCCTGGAGAGCGGGGGCATATCTCGACTGAAATAATATTGGGGGTTTCAGAACTGTTGCAGGTTACTAGTTAGACGACTCCTGGAGTTGATTGTTATGGATAAATACGTTCATTCGTTTTCAAATTACAATCAATTTTGATCTTTTCAAAATTTCAATCAATTTTGATCTTTTCAATTAAAATTTGATAAATTTACCTATTATCATCCACACTGTCAGAGAACAAATTTGAAAACCAAGAACCCATCAACTCAATTATTCAGCAGATAAAAAAAGAAAAATACATAAACAGAATGTGAGCCAAGTGTAATGATTTCCATAAAGTGAGCGCAGTGTAACCATGGTTACGCAGTGTAACGCTAACTTCACAGAAACCAGCACTGGCCTGGATAAAGAGTTTAAAGACATGTAACTTACTCCTCATCAGTGTACCTTAAAGAGCTGAAATCAAAATCGTATCCTCATTTGTATTTCAGGTGCAAATAGCATAAAATTGTAAAAACAAGTTTACATTCAATACCAAATAACTAGTGAAGTCCACTATACCTTACCTCCAAACCAGAAAAGTCTGTTTCTTACCTAATAACGATATCAGGTGATTCTATGGGAGTATGGACAGTGACCTCTCCTTCAGTTGATCCGTTCATTATCTTGAGGAATTTAGCAGGAACTTGACCCCACTTTCCGGAGTCCGACCGCACTGTCCACCATTGGACATCGTTCTTTGCTGGAGAATTACTTTTTATACGACCTCAGTATTTTCTTGCGAACTGTATTTTGTACCATACAATTATTCAGTTTTTAGATCTCATTTGAAAGACCAACAATAAAACAGGTATTTTAGAAATAAAATGCACTGTATAATTCACATATTGCACTTTAAGTGTTACATTAACCCTGCAGCAATGTGCTTGATTTTAGTTAGCTTACCTATGACCGATACAACCTGTCCCTCGTATATTTTGAGTTGGCCCGAAGTTGCTCCCTCGAAATCTTGTCTCACTACTACTCTTGCACAGCTGTCTAGCTGAAAAGTAACACTTTAGCTACCCTCGCGTGTTCAGGGGGTTAAGTGGTTAATGTCTTAAACAATCTGCAATACAATGTTCCAAAGAAAATGTTGAGTATCTCGTTAGTTCGTTAGGTAAATAAGTTACTTAGATAAGTTTAAGTTTTAAGAAAATATCTCACGTCAACTTTTACGAGGTAACCGTTAGCTGGCAGAAAGCCAGCTTTTCCATGTATTCTGCCTCGGTGCCAATTGGCACTTGAACTCGCTTTGGTGACCTAACAATAATAACTTATAATTCTGCTGTGTTGTGTTTTAAAGCTTCCAGTTTAAAACAACATCAACACTATTCTATTGGAATTATTAAGTAACACTATCTAATCGAGAGTCGAGACTTTGTGATTTAACCTTTTAGCAGGGTATCGTCACAACGATGTGTTCCACTTGTTCGATATTATGAATAAAAGTATGAGGAACACAAAACTTCCTAAGTCTTGTAATAACTCTGCCACACAACCCCTTACTCTGCCACACAAACCCCTTACTCTGCCACACAAACCCTTACTTTGCCACACAAACCCTTACTCTGCCACACAAACCCTTACTCTGCCACACAAACCCTTACTCTGCCACACAACCCCTTACTCTGCCACACAAACCTTACTCTGCCACACAACCCCTTACTCTGCCACACAACCCCTTACTCTGCCACACAACCCCTTACTCTGCCACACAAACCTTTACTCTGCCACACAACCCCTTACTCTGCCACACAACCCCTTACTCTGCCACACAACCCCTTACTCTGCCACACAAACCCTTACTCTGCCACACAAACCCTTACTCTGCCACACAAACCCTTACTCTGCCACACAAACCCTTACTCTGCCACACAACCCCTTACTCTGCCACACAACCCCTTACTCTGCCACACAAACCCTTACTCTGCCACACAACCCTTACTCTGCCACACAACCCCTTACTCTGCCACACAACCCCTTACTCTGCCACACAACCCTACTCATCCACACAACCCTTACTCTGCCACACAACCCCTTACTCTGCCACACAACCCCTTACTCTGCCACACAAACCCTTACTCTGCCACACAAACCCCTTACTCTGCCACACAAACCCTTACTCTGCCACACAAACCCCTTACTCTGCCACACAAACCCTTACTCTGCCACACAACCCCTTACTCTGCCACACAACCCTTACTCTGCCACACAACCCTTACTCTGCCACACAATCCCTTACTCTGCCCCCTTACTCTGCCACACAACCCCTTACTCTGCCACACAACCCCTTACTCTGCCACACAAACCCTTACTCTGCCACACAACCCCTTACTCTGCTACACAAACCCCTTACTCTGCCACACAAACCCCTTACTCTGCCACACAAACCCTTACTCTGCCACACAACCCCTTACTCTGCCACACAACTCCTTACTCTGCCACACAAACCCTTACTCTGCCACACAGTCCCTTACTCTGCCACACAGTCCCTTACTCTGCCACACAACCCCTTACTCTGCCACACAACCCCTTACTCTGCCACACAAACCCTTACTCTGCCACACAGTCCCTTACTCTGCCACACAACCCCTTACCTCAACTATTTGGTCCTTCTTGAAAGAGAGGCAATGTTGCTGGTTGCACTGAAAGTCGTGTAGAGCTGAGTAAAGCCCAGACATTTCATCAATACGATCTGTAATGTTAATTAGATAATTAATTACACTTACACTAGATCCAAGATAGTCTTAGTTTATAGCTACCTAAGTTTATGGTGACTGTACTGTTAAAAGTTAACGTAAACATAAAGGACCTGTAATAACTTCAAAAGAGGCCGGCTTAACTCCAGAAAGTTTTTTACATTCGCAGACTTGGCAAGGACAAACAAACAGCGCTCTAACACTAATAACCAGCAAAACAGGTACAACTGAGTACAGACTTTTAAATCCAAGACTGAATGAATCGAAGTTTAACTTCATACATGTACGTAACACAGAAAAGTAAAAATAGCAAAACGCTACATTCTCTTTAATCTCAGCATATCAAAAGAGACAAAACAGAACAATCATAATATCACAACAAAACACCATTGCAATCTGAGATGAACAGGACAAAATAGCACTTAAACCGATAACCCGAGTGTACTGCTGGCCAGTATACAACTCCAATAATTACGTCACACACAACAACACGATCACACAAAGACACAATGAGAGAGAATGAGCTCCCGAAGGAATGTGAGCTCCTTTTCTAATATATTCTCAGTGTGCGTGTATGCAAATAATAATATTCAGTTTTGTTTACGTGTGAATGTTGGGACTGTGTTGGCGGGAAATAGAGTCTGTGTGGTTAATTAATTTGTTATTAATTACGTGGATTTACGTAAAATTGATTAGTAAGTACACAAACTAATGTCGATTAAAATTTAAATGGTACCGCAAAAAATCGGGTAGATTGAAATTTGAACATTAGCAGGAGCATTTAAACATAAGATGACCCCACGAAAAAATGTAATCCTAACAGTAACGTAACGAAATCTGTGTGATATTACGTATTTCATATGTGAGATAATTCTAATTTGAAATAGTTACAGAGAAGCGCATAAACTATTTGTTAACATATGATAATGCAGCTAGGTACATTCAATTCACAAGATAGAATACACAAAAGATACTTTCAATACGATATCAAACATTTTCAGGATCTCGGGATATAAACGGTTTAAAGCAGCGTCTTAACTCTTACTTATAAAATTCTCGGTTGTAATGAACAGTACAAATTATTTACACGGCACAAACTTACAAACCAACTACAGCTACAGATAAAAGATAAATTTTAGACTTTATTAAGTTTTGACAATAAAAAGAAAGATAAATTCAAGTCATTCAAGGCTCAATATAATTAAATATCACAAAGCGCTTGGCTTAGATAAAATGTATTAACCGCACATTCAAAAAATTCAATAGCATCTGTGTGTTTGACCAGACAACTCACCATCACTGTTGTTGGCTCTTAAGGAAGATCCGGCATCTTTCCGAGTAGAACTGCCCATATAACATCACATCAGCATATTACTAGTTGATAATGTGTTAGAATTTCCGTCGGATCACCTTGTTTGGATGTAACACCATAACAGTTAAGATATATCCAACCGATATATAAGACACATTTATGCTTTTACAACTCGATATGATACTTGAGAATACATTATATACACAAGTAAAAGGTTTAGAAAACTACAACATTATGAAAAATAAAGAATAAAAAATATGTTTTATCCGTATTTTCAGCAAAACCTTAATAGTGGGATCTAACAAGTACATTAAAACTGATAACAACTTATTAAATCAAGAACTAGAATTCAAGCTAGAGCACAAGCCTTTAAAAATGTGTATGCCTTGGATGTCAGCTGTTCTTTGGTAAAACACGGATCATAAGATTGATCATCAAACAAATCGAAAAACACAACAATGATGGAAAAATAATCAAATTTGTGTAACAAATTAGAGCTACACGAAAATTCAGCATACAAAATCAATACTATAATCTTAAATCAGCTGAAAATGTAAAATGGTCTAAATTGGTCGTTCAACTATCTAAGAAATTTAAAAACTAAAACATAAAAGATGATTACATTCAATAAAAAAAGATTCCAGAAGACGTCATATAATTATAAACGGTTAAAAAAGAAAACTAAACGATCTCAGTCCTGATTAAAACCCTTCCCTTCTTTAAAACGGATTGTAGAAATAATCCCCAAATGATCGCTCAAAGATCGAACCTTGACCCCCTGAAATATGGACATACCCTGGTATTTAGGGATAGGTTCAGTCCCCACTAAATAATACCCTCCAGTTGGTTCCCAGTCTGTCCCCCGCAGCAACATCCTATCAAGTCGCTCCTCGCGTGGTATGTACGTGAATTTAAGAGTAGACTCAGGGCCAGAGTCAAACAAATCAACAAAAGATTTGTCTCTGGTTTCCTCCTCTTTCCCTCTGATCACGTCGTAGTTGAAATCTCCCATAATCATAACGTTAGTGTGGTGTTCCAGAGATGAGAAGGCTATCTCATCTGTTTGCATCTCAGATCGTACCCTTGTTGGCCGTCAGAGCTTTCCAAGTGAGAAGTTGAGATGGTGATAGGAACACTGTTTATAACAGTAGAAGCAAGTAACAAGGATCTGGCCATAACTGTGTGTTCCTTGTACGGTATTTTAGTAACCCGGCAAGGCCACTTGCTTAGAATCTGTACCGTGTACCAGTTCCCGGTATTTTCAGAGAGAAAGTAATTCTTGACGATTATATCGCTCTTACGTAACCGTTCAGAAAACTTAACAATACACTCTTGGAGACAGATAAAATCAGGTTGAAACTCTTCAATAAATCCTACGATCTCCTCAAATCTCTCCGCTTGGTCAGATTGTGAGAACCAAATGTTCTGTGTGTAGATTGTGAGATAGCTAACTTTTGTTTTCGTTTTGTTCACTTTAAGACGATTTATTAACCGTCTGGGGTTGGGATTTATACCGCCATGTGACATCGGTATGGAAAGCGAACCCGGAACTGTTGGTGGTAGAAGTTTGGAAAAGTGTTTGTCGAAAAATGGAAGGACAGAGGAATCACAATATTCTGGAGCTTCATTCTGGAACTCTTTTAAAGATTCCATGATACCAGGACTGGTAGGGTAATTGATCTTAAATAGCTTTCATATTTTCCATTTCATAATTCATATTCATTTTATTAATTAACTAGAAAGCCCGTGGTAAAAGGGACGAAGCTAGTAGTATTCTTTGAAAGAAAGTTTTAATCGCATCAAAAAATATCCATCTCAACCGAAGATACAGCCGATTTAAATATAAAACACTTTAAACGCAACGTAATTACCACAAAACCGATCAAAATGACGTTAAAACAATCTTTGCACGTGCATGTGTGCATTAAAACACCGTTGCTATGGAACCTTTTGGTTGTTACCTAAATACCTATTTCTCGCCTTATTCGCACGTGGGCGGTCGTACAAACAAACAAAAATAATTCTTTGAAATATAAGTAAGATTGTATCTGGCTACCTAGTATGTTGCTAATAACAGAAAGCCTGAAGGGTATAAATACAAGGCAGCAGCAGCAGTACTAGGAATGCAGTATTACAGCTCCCAGACTGCTTTAGTGGGGGTAACCCCACATTTAACACTCTATCCCTGGTCTTGGTTCCCAAAGAGAGCCACCTTATTAATGGTCTTACGCCACAATTGTACCAGATACCTATACTAATGGGTATTGGGTACAACTACAAAAGGTACACACAATGCGAGCAAATGGTTAGTAATTAGTATCACTAGTTGCCCTTTAACCGTCTGGTAATGCGTGCTGATATTTTACCGTCAGCAGCATTTACTGTTGAACAAATGGACAAACCAAATACACGCAAGTCTATTAAATTGTCAAAAGAGCAGATTTTTAAAAACTGCCACAGTTGTGGCTCAAATTAATGATATCAATAATTAACAGCTTTTGATTGCTTCATCGTGAGGTTAACTAAATGCCATATTAACAATAACAACTCCTAATTATTATTAATCGGTTAATTTTGACATACCACTCAAAGTGAGATGTCACAATTCAAGGAAAACGTTTAAATTTAATTGACTGAACGATGCGATGAAAAAGAAAATTTTCATCCCAGAAAAGAAGGCACTCACATGGTCTGTAAACTACGCAAATATTCAGAGTTAGAAACCCGAAAGTGCTGGAAAAGCCAATGCCTTGGGAAAACAACACATCAGACGAAATAGACAAGGAAGCTAGGGCTAACAAGTCTAAGTTGGGAAATTCAATTAACACGCAATAATACATATGCTGGCACTAATTACTTCCTTTACTTACACAAACATGAACCACACTGGCAATGTGTTTTATTAATTATTAATTAGTTTGTATAATTGTATCATTAATATTACTGGAACGTGACTAATTGTTATCATTATTTCCTGCCAGATTAGGCTGGGCGATCTGTCAAAAATCAAGTTTGCTGCCGTCATACAATCAAACGAGCCTTGGTGAGACTCCAGCAAATTCCGGACAAAATAAGAAGTAGAATCCGACCAGTAAAATTGCCGCATTAGACTATAAAATATGCAATTTCCCTACGTTCGGGCAGTATATGGACTTTAGAGCTAAACTTGCAAAAACTTAAATAGACAGATAAAGTGATAAACACGCACAACGAAGCCCCACTCCCTAGGTGGGAAAGCATGAACTTCCTTATAGTAGCTACTACTGGCCTTCTACGTTCCTTACTTTCCTGTACTTGTTCGGATACGTAATGACAACCCAATTTTAGTTTTTCTTTTAAACAAATCTAGAAATTTAAGATTTTGGAGAGGTTCGCTGTTTATCAGTCTCATGATAAGATAATGATTTTAGGAATAATATCCGGTAGTAGAGAATATGTAGGACAAGTGGAACTACTGTTTAGGAGGAAACGGGAACTTTCAGTGTACTAAACTTTCATCAGGCTTAAATTATTTCTTATATAGTAGTGTTGAAAGTATTAAAATACTTTTATTTTAATACAAATCGAAGCGAGAAATCGAAGCGTACAAACCTATCTACTGATACATCTAACCCTTCAGTTTGGGCAGTAACCGGAACAACAAACACGTTAACCATTATTACGCAGCTGACCAGTGACGCAATGCAATTATTTAACAGTTACCGCTCTGATAAAATTCAATATTAATTGTGTGGTTTGTGGCCCTATCACGGGGTTCGGCCACGAGAAATTCAACTTAAATTGAATTACAATTCCAAATAACAACAAGTTATTGAAGATTGCTTCATAACAAATTTCAGCAATGCCTTTTTATTACAGTCGACGGTGACAGTGCGGCAACAGTGGTCACGTTGACTCCTAAGTCAATATTGAGTCAGTTGAATGACAATATCGTAACAACCCAAACCTTGCAGCAGTGCCAGTCCACCATAGTTCTTCAACAATCAACACAATCAGTTCTTATCAACATGCATAGCCATACCTAACAGGATGTAAGTTAATATTTTAATTTTTTAAATCATCAAGCAAAATCTAATTTTAGAAAATAAATCATGATTTTACGGCCCAATATGAATAATAATCAGAGCGAATATATCGTAAGAAACAAATATTAACAGACCCAACCAAAAAGGGCACAGCACGGAGGATAGCACAGCTAGCACGGAGGATAGCACAGCTAGCACGGAGGATAGCACAGCTAGTACGGAGGATAGCACAGCTAGTACCCTGTCTTACTTGTACAGGAAGCGATTAAGTCCTGTACTTAGCACAGCCGTGTGTGAGGGAGAGTTAGCTTGTATTTAGAGCTGAGGTATGATTGTAAACACTGCGCGGCTTCGAAGTGATACAAGCATAGAGATAAAGTACAAAGAAATATGTCCCTTGCTAACAGTGCCCCAAATACAGTGAACTGATTCTAGAATTACGGGGTTGGGACTTGGGAGTAAAACAAATGAATTTTACAGAAACCTTCCGATAAAAATATAACACAAATCAATTATAGCACAATGAATAACAACACCGCAGTACAGATATTGCGATAAATAATATGGAGTGAAATTTTGGTGTCCCCCAGCAATTACAAAATAGAACGGATCATATCATCATAAAATTAAAGAGTGGTTCCAACTCAGAACCCAGTTATGAAACCTCCTCCGATGAAAACTTATTTCTCAAAATGACAAAAGATCATCAAATATATATATAGATATAATGATAAAATATAAATAATAATGACGTGACATATATGTACATAAACTGAAAATCAGAGGGTTTGGCGATCTTCGTCTCAAACACTACAGATTCAGCGAATGAGAGACAACAGTGATATTCCACAGCTCATACAAACTTATTTAACTCTGTCCTTTTACATTAAATCACTTACAAATTTTCAATTTTAATCTAAGAATTAACCGTCGTCAAGGCAGCAGGATCAATCCTTTCTTAGCTTTGGATTTTCCTCTTTTTTTCTTTGCCCCCGGCGCCCACGTGACGTCCGTTGTTAGGGAACTGTCTGAATTGTGTTCCGAACCTGGGAAGAGGAGGTGAAGCACACAAATTATTGTAACGAGTAAAATTTCAGGAATAAGCCAAGTAAGTAATAGGCTATCCACTCCGATAACCGTTACCGATAATTATCTTCGATAATTCGTTAAAAAAGTTATCTGTTTATCTAGATAAAAGCTAAATCTTTATCTGTTTATCTAGATAAAAGATTTCATACCGATAGTGGATAGCCAAGTAAGTAAGTATGGCAACTGAAATCAGATAGAGCGAAACACACATTTGTATGGAGTTATAGCCGAGCTAAGCTGCAAATTATGCTTGTTGTCACCATAACTTTAAAAGGGCATATTTAATTTATATCAATTACGAATTTACTGACGGCTTCAAAAGCCTGAATTTCCGGATTCAGTACCAAATTAACAGCGACTTCTTTACCATTACGATAGTAGGAAACAGGAAAACTCGGCAATAACGTATATTAAATTTCTAATAGTAAACTTCTCGTCTATCTCTTAGATAAGTGAAGTATCTATTTCTATTTAATTCTCTTGTCGCTTTCACAGTGCAGAACTTTGCGTATGTGCACGCAACACAAAACAAGCGTAGGAGAGTCAACACGCTGCAAATAGACAAAAACTGCCGACCCAAAACTAACTCAAAAACGAAACTAAATAGACGCAAATTATTCAGTATCCCAGCGCTGCGAGACCTATGCTCATTGTAACCACCTGAATATTAATGAGCATACCTCACTAATTCAACAAAGCAAAGCTCCCAGCAAAGCTAAGATTCCAACTCCGTAGTTTGTTTTGATGAAATTGAGGGACCAGAGAATATTGCTCATTTCAACCGAAATGTCTGGGTTATGGTCCATGTTCCAACCATTCAGGAGTGTACAAGGTTTTACTGTATACTTGGATACTGAGAGCCTAGTTTGTGTATATACATTATACAATACTTATGAGTTGCTGTACTTTTCCACATAGTGCTCCACAGACTTGCATGATTATAATCGAAATTTTTTTCAGCTTCATGACAATGATAACACAATACTAAAGATCGTGGCAACGTTGGCTAGCATTATTTTACTATTACCACGAAATGGTGTTTTTTCCCACAAAGTTAAATTGTTTCAATTGTTCTATAAACATGAAAAAATAGCTGCGGCCTGCGAACAATCGCGTTATTACAACAGGCGCAACGAACAACTTCTTTCAACAATCTCTCGACGGTGATTCGAATATATGATTGTTACTCCACATGTAGGGATAATGATTATGCAGTTAACGAATCTAGATAAGAACTGATTAAGTACGAATCTAGATAAGAACTGATTAAGTACGAATCTAGATAAGAACTGATTAAGTACGTACCAGTTTCCTCACTGATAAGACTTGACATGCTAGGGAGAAGGAGGGACCGGGCTGTTGCACGCTGTTCATCTGAGTGTTGTGGGCATCGTAACGATCTCGTGCACAGCTTCTTTGTGTACTGATGAGGAGGTATTAGAGGGTCGTGTATTACACTCATTTTAACTTGAAATATACAGAATAACCAAGTTGAGTTCTCTGAATATGAAGCAGCGAAAGAGTTGTAAACTGTAAACTTCCGTTTCTCACTTTTCAGAGAGACATACCTTAAGGGGACATACACCAAAAGCTTTTATGCCCTGGCCCTGCTGTTAACTTCATATTAAGAAAGTATACATCAAAACAATAAGATTTGATACATTAAAAATTATTTTTGAGGACCCGCTCTTTCGAAAAAATAAATATTTTCTTTTTCGAAAGTTTTGGAAATTTTGAGAAGTCTGTCACTGTAATACCGATATTTCAGTCATTTGAAACGTTTATTGACTGATTTTGTAACTGAACATTATTTACAATCCGTACAAGAAGCCCTTCAAAGGATTTTATAATTAAAATATAGATGACGAAGTTAGAGAACCAAACAAGGTCGAGAGAAGCAAAATTGAAATTTTTGTAAAAATCAAGGTTGTATATTTTACCATTCACCCAGGTCATAAGATATCGCTTCAACAATTCTTGTGAGTGTAGCTGATGATCATATCCAACTTTGTGGAACAGGATTTCTCTCAATTTTGAGTTTTAAGGTATGAAATGTGGCCTCAAACGACTTAGTAAAATTCATCGTAAAAAGGGCCAAACATGGCAGATTTAAGGCTTAAAATGCCTATAACTCAAAAAGTATCAGTTTTTTTGAAATAATTTTTACAGGATCGTAATCAGCTTGGTAAGACGAATCTTTTAGTACCAAATTTATAATAGTTAAAGACACAAAATTTGTAAAAAAATGTGTACAATTTGTACAACATTTATGCAAGGGGGGACCCTTGTGTTCGAGCTAGAAAATTATTTAAGACAATTTGTCTTCTAAAATCACTTATTTGGTAGTAATCTTACATACCTCAGATACAACCCCACACATAGTTCGGAGGAACTTCTCCTTGGACTCGGGCGAGAGTGCTTCAAACGTTTCCCTGTCACTTCCCTCCGTATCTGTTATCATGACAGGGGGTGATGAAGACAGATCGCTTTTCAGCTTTAATGCCTTCTTCTTTACCAACTTCGGTGACCTGAAAATAGAGAATTGACTATGATTTAATGAGTAATGATTTATTCATCCCAAATGACGTCAAATTCTAAATATTTTCTCGAATCAGTTCCACGATTCTATAGGTCTACAAACTTGACTCTTACCCATTTCTCTTGACTTTAGGGCGTTTAGGTTTGCTGGCCCACAGGTCAGCGTCCTCCTCGTCCAGAGTGTCCTCATCAGCAGGGTTGTTGGTGTTGGCGATACGGCGCCGTGCCACACGGCTACTGTTCCTACCCATACCTGGAGGGAGGCGGTTCAACAGATTTACAAACAACAACAAATTTTTGTATGTCAAATTTTAAATGGGTTCTATAGACACAATATGTAATAATCAAGAATAACCACAAAAGTCTGTGAAGAACTGACCCATGCATTTCTCAAGATGTGGAGCAAATCGAGTAGCAGCGACACATCTCAAACATTCAGGACATTGAATGTCCTCAACTTTAACCTGACGATTTGAAGTAAAAAAGGCGTGAAGAAAATATCTGTTAATATCACTTTAGTAGTCGTAAGAACTTGATGCCTAACGATTACTAAATAAGTAGGACTCGCAGTCAGCAAAACTCCAATAAAGACAATACCTCTTTAGGTTGACCGAAAATATCACACCCCTCCATATCGATAATAGCATGTTCACCTCCATCCGGAGTATCTTCTAGTTCATCAAAATATCCCAACACTCTCGCTCTGGGCAATGAATTATGAATGAGTTACAAATGTGTTTTAAACGATATTTCAATATCTCTGTAAGAGGTTTTATATTCGTTGATTTCGTTACAATGTGATATCAATAGCAAACATGAAATATGTGCAAAAAATTCGATCAAAAATGGAACAAGATCAGAGGAGAAGTTAAACTCAGCCTTTAATCTTATTACCTGTTGTAATGAAGCAATATACCAAGGGTCAGTTCTCCGACGTACTGATCGATAACGGACTTAAGAATATCATCGCTAACTATGGTGGTAGGCATCCTACCCTAAGTTCTTGTAAGAACTGCTTAAACTGTAGGTATCATTTTATAACGTCATCCTAAAACAAGATCTGTTGTTAGATAGAAAATAGATTAAAAACACGTGCGAATATTATATCAAGTAATCTACACTTCGCCGCGCAAAAACGCGCGTGAAACGGAAGAATTATCTGAAGATATTGCACCGCGCCTTACAAAACATAAGTAATTGCCACGGGAAAGGGAACAGTCCATCAGATATGAGACATACGCGGACAGCTTCCCATGATGTATGTACTACCACATTACTATTTTACTTTGATTTGGTAACTAACTAATTAAATTACTATTACACTGCACTAGGTGAGTCACATTAACATTATTCAACACGATATTCTTCAGGGTGATCAAATTATGGGACGATATTATGGCATATTTAAGTTTTCTTAGACTCAATAAATGTGTATAAATAAAATTAATGATCTCTATTGACACGGTGCGTAGCTGTGAAAAACATCTTTGAATGTCGCTCATCATGCAAATCGTTCGGAATGAAATTCAGAATTTTAAAAATTGTCAAATAAATAGTCATACAGTGGCAATACTGAATAGTCCATAACAACGCTCGTCTTAATTAACATAATACATCAATAGGTTCAATAGGTTCAATACCTAACACATATATCTTCAATGTTTGTTCATGACACTTGATTCTCCATGCTTATATCGGTTTATACATTACAACATTAATGCTGGCAATCGTTCAAATTCATGTGATTGATTATACAAAAAATGGTTAGAACTTTCAAAATAGAATTTAATAAACTAGTTAAACTGTCAACAAACACTTAAGGGGGTATACACCAAAATTGGCCAATTTCAGCTTTTTGACTTTGAAAAAATGCACTTTGACCAGGAAATGGTCGATTACAGAAATGAGTGTTCTCGAAATCAATTTTTGGATTGGAATCGGTCACTGAACTTCCTGTTAGGTCATTTGGGTTGGCCGACACAAACCCTTGTTTTGGTGTATACCCCCTTAATGGTCTTAATCACTTAAGGGACATTATAATTGTAATTTCCACTGTCTGGGATATGTTTCCAAATTTCGATATCTACTGATGTAACCATAGGAGTCCGTTTTAGGTCTTGAAGCATGGTCTGGATCTTGTAGTCGACTTATAAACTGAAATTGTAAAAGTATGAATTATTAAAGAGATTACTGAGTACATACTACTTCCGTATAATTAACATCGATTACTAATTACGTACTACTTCTGCATAATTAATTAATAAAGAGATTACTAACTACATACTACTTCTACATAATTAATGACGATATTAACGTTTTACAATTATAACTTAACTTGGAGTTGTAAAATAAATTCATGGCCACATAAAGTTTACTATACCCGCTGACAACGTCATTTCCATAATAACAGCTATCTATTATACACATCCGAGTGTAAGATATACCTCTGGGCCCGTACCACGTGTCGTACCACGTGTCGTACCACGTGTCGTACCACGTGTATACCACGTGTGTACCACGTGTCGTACCACGTGTGTACCACGATCCATGTCGACTTACCTTTGTCAAGCCGACATCCTTATCAGCTAGCACTTGACAATGTAGCGAACTTTGCCCCTTCTCAGTTAGAGGGTGCTGTTGGGAGTGGTAGGGAGCTGGTACTAAACGGTCCATGATCATACAATCTGATTCAAACTGAGAGGGATACAAAACTTATCAGAGAGGGTTTAAGGAGACATACACCAAAAGCTTTTATGCCCTGGCCCTGCTGTTAACTTCATATTAAGAAAGTATACATCAAAACAATAAGATTTGATACATTAAAAATTATTTTTGAGGACCCGCACTTTCGAAAAAATAAATATTTTCTTTTTCGAAAGTTTTGGAAATTTTGAGAAGTCTGTCACTGTAATACCGATATTTCAGTTATTTGAAACGTTTATTGACTGATTTTGTAACTGAACATTATTTACAATCCGTACAAGAAGCCCTTCAAAGGATTTTATAATTAAAATATAGATGACGAAGTTACAGACCAAACAAGGTCGAGAGAAGCAAAATTGAAATTTTTGTAAAAATCAAAGTTGTATATTTTACCATTCACCCAGGTCATAAGATATCAGGCACGTAGCCCCGGAAAAAATCGAACCCCAGAAAAAAGATAAGCCCCCTAGTCCCCATGGTCGCCTGGTAACTGGGCTGTGTTTATGACTGCAGTCAGTCAAAGATTTGAACTGTGGATTAGTAAATATATGTCATTAAATCCAAGCAAACATTCTAGAAGACTTCTATAATTATAGTCAATAGTGTCCCCTAGACCGTAGGAAATGTAAAAATCTTAAGACGATGAGGCCTGAGTAAGTCGTAAATTCTGATTGGAGAATGCAGATTGCTGTTGTGAAGTTACCAAATTTACGTGAGTACTTGATTCTTTTCAATCCCAGTTTATTGCTGTCCTACAAATTTCTTTAATGCCAAATGTCGTCTAAAACACCCTGTTTCGCAAAAAATTTCCGGGGGGCTGCGCCCCCCTAGCCCCCGCCAAGGGGCTCCGCCCCTGGACCCCGCTGGGGGCTGCGCCCCCAGACCCCTGCCATTAAATCTGCCATTAAATCATAGTCACTTGTTGCCATTAAATCATAGTCACTTGTTTTCAATTCTCTATTTTCAGGTCACCGAAGTTGGTCTATGGAAAGGGCTTCTTGTACGGATGTAAATAAATGTTCCTTACAAAATCAGTCAATAAACCGTTTTCAAATGACTGAAATATCGGTATTACAGTGACAGACTTCTCAAAATTTTCCAAAACTTTCGAAAAAGAAAAATATTTATTTTTCGAAAGAGCGGGTCCTCAAAAATTAGAAGATTGTAAGTTTCAATGTGAATGACTCAAATCTTCTTGTTTTATGGTGATGTATATGTGAGGCTTTCCCTTAATATGAAGTAAACAGCAGGGCCAGGGCATAAAAGCTTTTGGTGTATGTCCCCTTAAGATTTGGTGTACAACGGAAAAATAACTTAAATGTGATTATAAGCTGGAACCTCTAATCAAATCGAGATTATGAATTAAGCTTTTAAAACACTATATACCTTTGATTTAGCCTCCTTAAACTTGACGAGCTTATCTTTAAACTCAGGGGGCATGTTATCTAATCTTTTTAGAAGTTTAGCACTAAAATGATTGTAGAGTTTAACATCAGGAGTCAACACTTGTGTTAGACGAACTTTAGTAGAATCAGAGAGAATTTCGTGAGATCTGATGGCAAAGTCGGTGAGCAAGGAAAAGGAATAGATATAAAAATCAAAACATTTTCTAATTAGATAAATATACTCCTAACAAGATACGTACCAGATAGGTAAAGAGTACAATAATATGGACTTAGTGCAGCGGATAACTCCATATTATTCACAACAACTGATTAGCGTATTCAAGAGAAATTCCTTACATGAATATTGAATATAAAAGCTTGGAAGAGGGGAACGGATTATATATTACCTGTTAGATTTGGACACCATACGGTTAAGATAATAAATATCAATGAGTCCTCCACACGGTCCTTTGAAGAAGAAGTAGTGACTCGTCAAGATGCTCGAGGGTCATCAGCAAATCAAAACGGTCGTCCAGCATTTTTATATAGTTATTGATAGTGTCGTCAGTTATAATCATCGTACTGTGGTATTGATCTTTAAAAACAGTTTTTGGACCTTGGCAATTCGGGGAAAAATGTGCTGTCTGATAGATGACTTGTCTCTAAAGGCGAATGACAAATGGCGATAATTTTAATTGAACAATAAGTTAGTGCTTGAGTTTTTTGGGGAACTTGATAAAGAAAGATCTTAAATTGTCACTTCTTAGAGCCAACTTGCTCTAAAATTATGAAGAAAAAAAAATGGTAGATTTAATATTTTGATGATCAAACCTTCCCTGAGACATTCCAAGATCGTAGCTCATAGAGTTTAGATTATTTGCAATGAGGTAGCTTCCCATCTTTTCTTCTCGATTGGATTCCTCATACTTCAGGTCAAGAAATCTATTTATAGATTCATCAAGTGTTATCGGGCTGCCAGCATCAGTCTGCATTCTGAACAATTGAGATTGAAATACATAATTAATTGGTGGTTACTGGTTAATTTTCTGCAAAGTGCTCAACTTGATCAAAACTAAGACCATCATCAAAACTAAGACCATCATTTTCTGCAAAGTGCTCAACTTGATCAAAACTAAGACCATCATGAACTAAAGATAACAAGGTTTCATGAAAAAAATCTTCAAATGAGAAGATTAACACCTGTTTTTAACTCTTTTGTAACAAAGAAACTATTGTATAATTTACAAGAACCCTCTCCAATCCGCAGGGAAGTAGTTATAATAATTTCATTAGAACTATTCATCCTCTCAGATTGAAAGTTCAAGTTAGGAAACTACTGTTAGTTCCAATTGTTATCATAAGACATACATGATTAAGATAAGTTAATTCTAAAACCCCTTAATAATCACTTGTTCAACCTATGCAGTGTTGGTAGATTACATTGAGTAGCGAAATCATCATAATTAATCATACAAGGTTTACAAGGTTTACAATCTAGGTAAACTATAGGTAAAAATATAATATTAATCATAAGCTAAAATGTACTAATCTTTGTATTCTAAATGGGGAAAAAGAAGAAACATTGTCAGTCAATCGAGAAAATTGTCAGTCAGGCTATATGGCAGCTTTGTAGATGTTGCTAGTAGTGGTCCCAGGCTTGCAACTGGAATTGCGGTTTACAAGGTTTACAAGGTTTACAAAAATAGATCTATATTACAGTGAGATATTGTCAGATCAGCATAGCTAAAGCAAAGGTCAAAGTCCGAAATCCAAATAGAAAAAAATCCGTTACCATTAAGGTGTTTGATGAGTGTAAAGAAAAAGTGAAAATGAAGGGGCTGTGGAGGAAATGTGATATCCCGTACTGAGACACTAATGTTCGTGTTTCTTCTTTATAGGGAAATATGAAATGTTATACTATGTGTGGAATGTGAATATCATTATTATGACGAACTTATTAAACATAATTTATCATAACAACATTTTGCAGTATTTACACTTACAAAATTTCTGTGTCTTAACAAACTGAATATACGTCCCCAGCCATGATTGTAAACAGTAAACAGTAAACACATTACCATAAACAACCTACCAGGTCACAGTAGTTTACCTGTAGTAATTACCTGTGATCATTATTGTAGAAAATATAGAAAGACACAAAGGCCTTTAAGGGGCTCCTTATCAAGGAGAAATAATAGGAATCATGAGGCATAACGGATTCCACAGCTCTCTTATCAAATACCATATGTTGGCACATGATGTTGTAGGTCTCATTAGATGCTAGCCGCATTAACCTGAAATATCATCCAGTTAGTTATCTTCCATTAAACTATTCGTTATTATACTAACTTGAACCTTCGGAATTTTATCTAAATATCCTGTTCATGCTTTCTAAAAGCTCAACTGACAAATTCAACTGAAAATTCGACTGAAATTCATAAAATGAAAACTCAAGAATTTGAATATAAAATGGAAAGTGGAATAACTGTAATGTTAAAGAAAAAGTAAGAAAAGGGCGTGTTGCCAAACTAAAACTACTAAGAGATTTAGTAAAACTGTTTATAACATTCATTTACCAAAACATAACCAATATCTATATCTCATGTGTTTTGTAATGAGCAATAATCAACATACTTTTCAGGTCTAATGAGATGTAGCTGATGAGAATAAGGATAGACAGCATAGTTTAACCCATGAATTATCCCAAAATGATACAAAATATTGACTGTAGTCGAAGTCCCTGTTTTATGAGTTTTTACAAATAAAAAGTTGGTATGCTTTTTAGTACAGGTTTTGTTTGATTCCAGCACAGTTTTACTACTGATCTGATTAGTGTCTGATGAGTCAAGCTGTATCCGCTGAACCGTAGTTTGCTCTATTCCGGGGAGATAGGTAATAATGTCGCTCATAGATGGGCTGTGCTGGTATGTTATCCACAGTATAATCCCTGCAGCAATGCAGTATAACAGGTACTTCACAGCCTTCATTTCGTTCTTGTCAGTTCAATGAAGTCATCCTGATGTGAAAAGTAACTTAGACTATTAAATTAGGAACTTTGGGAAGCTAAATTGGAGATAGTAAACGGCAAATCATTCATTATATTAATTGTGAACCTGGTTTAAAGAAAACAACAATTTCAAGAAAAAAAGGTTTTTTACAGAGAGATTGAGTTGCTACAAACATTTTGCCAGGTGGATGCAGTGGCGTAACTTAGGGCCCCGCAGACCCCGCTGTGCGGGGGGGCGCCGTATAAGGGGGGCGCAATTTTCCTGAATTTTAGGCCCTTTCACTGAAAAATCGCCTTGTTTGTGTGTATTTCCCTGTCCAATTTAGCGTTCGGTCGACGCGAAAAAAATATTTGGGGTACGTTTTTTGCTTCAGGGGGCGCAAAAAGCTGTAGGGGGGCGAGAAAAAAAGTACCCGACCTTTTTTTTTTTTTTCTTCTTTTTTTTTTTTAAGGGACACAAAAATTTTAGGGGGGCGCTTTTCGTCACTGAGCGGGGGGGTACCAACAGGCAAAGTTACGCCACTGGGTGGATGAGGTCATTTTCTTCAGATTTGGAGACAGTACACTTTCCTGATTGAACAGGGATAAAATGACCAAACTTTAGAACAATTGAAATTATTGACTTTATATACCCAATAGCAGGTCAGGCTGATTGATTATGCTGTCTGACCAAAATTAACACATAGGTGACGATGCTTGAGGACCGGGCGCCTTCACAGCAAATAATTCAGAACACCACTCCTACTTAGTTACGGACTAGAGCCGTCCAGAAATTATAGTTACAATTACCATTACCCAGTAGTCAACATTCTCCAATTCAATGGAATCGTTTTTCTGTTTTGATATGATTCGATTCAACAGCAATCAAAACTAAATTAAACGATAAATCCGGTCATTCAAAGAAATAAACATATAATTTCAGCAATGATCAAATGATCAATAGAACAGGAAGGTTAGAGAACATAGAAAATCGAATATACAGACTCGGAGTCAATGTCGAAGTTTGCTAATATAATATATACACATTTTTCAAACAGTATACACATAATGCAATGTTACAATGACCCTATATAAAAATAACCCTTCAAAAACTCAATATTTTGAAAATGACCCTTGGCCTTGTGGCTCCAAGTTTAATTTTAAACTGTCTATATTGTGAAGTTCTTTTTCGCCCCTCTGTCTCCCCGCAGACCATAATTAAAAGATGGTGTTATACATGAACATTTCCATTAAGCATTTTGTGCGCGGCGGGTCATACAACTTATGACAAAAGTGGTCGGACATACAACAATTTTTAGATCGCACTCAATTCTAATTTCTATCGTATATTGCTCCAGGTGTACGTGCGGCTTGTCATAAAAACCGATCCTACTAAATTTATTTTCAACAGTCAAACATTTAAATTTTAAACAAAATTTAGTACACTATGTACGCTTAAATTATATATAACTTTTAATTTATGCTAATATAGCGTTTGATCGCAATTTATGATGCCCTGCGGTTTCTTCGCGTTCGCGACTATACCCGTTTGCGATGCCACTGTGTGGACGTAGCTGTGATAAATCTTACATCCTCTTAAAGTACATGCTCTAACTCGGACATCGCAAGCTTAATCAGTTCTGGGGACTGTTCCTGTGTAGAGTTATGAAGGTTTAAAGCTTTCGTGCTGCGCAATCGCCCCAAAATGGCTAAAAATTTGCACCGTCGAAGAATAACTTTGCGCAGGGAATGCGCAAGGTCTACAATATGGTAGTTAATATTGATTTTCGACCTCCAGCAGGATAGCCTAGTTCGCTAAGCAGGCGATTGGCTGTGGTAGCTGAGGGTTCAAATCCCTGTCTAGACTTTAATTTTGTTTTAACTGAAACAAGTTTTCAACAAAAACTTTCTAGTGTTTGGTTAATATTGATTAGTTAATTATATTAAAAGTTATACTCTAAGATGAAATTCATAATTAGAAATGGCAAAGCAGCTATAACTATAAGTATAATACGCAGAGCATCATTATACTAGAATTTTATAGAAATAACATTGTCTGTCTCTGATTATTTTTAAATACAAGTAACAGACGTGACCAGTATTGCATCTGCATCGATTAGTATTCAGTTCGGAGTCGTCGATATCAGCTATTACATAGATTTTAAATTGCTGCTATTATAGCTGCAGATATGATTATGAGCAGTTTTTATCCGTCTGATTTGGTCCGTTTTGGGCTGGGCCCAGTTTGCTAAGGATTCTGTTTCTATCTGGTGTAAAACTTGGTATGCTGCGAAAAGAACATTCTGAAGGCAGAAAGCTCTGGATTGGTCTTTAAGTGCCTCTCTCAACGACAATCCCTCTTTAGCAGTTACTAATACTTGATAGCTCTATTAATTCTGCCTGTCACGGTGGGAAAGGAAGGTCAAGACTGCTTGTTTTGTAACTTTTTGTTGGGACTATTGACATGTAGTGTTTGGAGAAGGAGGGTAACGAAGGAGCACTTCTTAGTTGTCCATTGGGCATTACTGTCCACATCTGAAACAGATTTTAATAAAAGGAACTAAATAATAATACGGTTGAGTAAAATCAAATCTGAGACTTGAGTGGCGAGTGCAGTAGGGAAAGAAAATCTATAAGTGCATCTCAAACTGCCAAACTTACTGTTGAAAAATACTGTTTGACTACACTTCAATCCACCAGCCTCTCATCATTTTCAATGTGTGAAGCAGCTGGCGTGAGTTTCGTGGAATTCGTGAAAATCTTCGATAATCCCAGCCTCCAGGAGTTGCTTTTATTTTAGGGTCCTCTCAGAGCTTTAGAGGTTATCGATATTCCAGATTATGTCTGCTTTGTTGTCTGTACTTCCGGGGGTTGTATAAACCTGAGAAATTGAACAGTTCAATACCAGAGAGAATGCTGAAGACTTTGAAAGTTCTGCCAAAATGTTTATTTTCTGTACACAAATCCGAATTTGTCTCTTTAGTGGCGATTTTAGACAAAATTGACCTTCTTTCGGACTAAACTTTGAAACTGAATTGAAGTTTAAACGATTACCTCTAGAATGGTATTAATGAATTAACAAATTTATCATCAGAAGTCAAGTTATGGTCGATTTTGGAAGCTTGGATATGCTAAAATTATTAATTACATATTATTATGCGCGGCTCGGTTATATTGCGCGCGCGTGGTCGCTAGGCGCTAGCGCAAAAATTGCTTACATTTTTTTTTCCGTTCGGCAGAAAGACAATCGTGACTGACAAACATGTAGAAAACTCACCCAGAACTTCTAGCATATTCTTTAGGGCGGGAAATACTTAGTATGCAGGGTCTGTGATTATCCCGCCAAATCCGAATTTCTTCCTAATAACACATCACAAAGGCGCGTTCACAATTTTTGCGCGTTATAAACAGCAGAAGAATCCTCAACATCAGATGGCCTACTGGGGTTATTTCTAATGAGGCACTCTATGCTCGTTGTTATGTCACTCCCTTGTCTGTGAGAGTCTCTAAGTTTCGATGGAGAATGTTAGGACATATCTTAAGAGGACAGGAAGACTCACCAGCATACACCTCTATGTTATTTGCTATAAATTCTGATATTTTTATGGAAGGGAGACGGGGTAGACCATGTTTAAACTTATTAGATGTTATTAGAAAAGACTTGACTAGTAGAAATCTTGATATTAGACTTAAGAATTTGACTGATTTCGAAGACCTTAGATTTTTGGCTTTAGATAGGGAGGAATGGAAGAAGTTAGAAGATGGTTGATGTTTTTGTTTTCTTTTTTATGCGTTTTGATATCTATAAGGTGCCTAGGATGCTCTTTTAAAGAGATATTTCGTACTTTGAAAGATTTACTACTATAAACAGCTAGATTCCTTTTAAGTCGTTCTATAGTTAATCTCACTAATTCAAAAGGGGGAGACTGATTGGAGAAGAATTGAACCTTTGGTTTCTTCACAAGTAGAAGCACTAAGAAAACACCCAAGTTGTCCATGATAGAGACAAGAAACAAACTTTGCAAAGCAAACTAAACATGCTGACAGCAAATATAACTGAGAAGGAACCACTGATCACCAAGAACAAACCCAGGGTAACATATTGGTAATGTCGAACTAGAAGGACCAGCTGTTTCACTACTATCTAAAGACCCTAAATTTGCGTTGCTAGACAACAGGGGGGGGAGGTTCAACTACATTTTTGTACATGTACATTTGGCAAAAATCTTATGGCCATGTACATAAATGTACAAAAAATCGGAAATCCCTGGAAAAGGATTGAAAAATTTCCAAATCGTGTTTAAAATGCTAACAATGCTAGTACATTATGCAAAAACAAAGCTCGGGCTAGGGTATCAAGTGGCTAGGGTACTAAGTGGCTAGGGTACTAAGAGCTGCAACAACTAAGCAATTGTGGTCAGGATAAACTAAGGACTTCATCCCTCAATTATATAATATAGTACTCACTGTACTCACTGTATTTGATCCTTCCCTGGATTCTTCTGTCAAAATCTCTAAACTGGCCAAGGTCAACAGAGGCGAGCTAGACGCTCTTGGAAATTACCTTAAGTTGCCTCTAGTTAGCAGAGGATTAAAGAAGAAACTTTTCAGCTCACGAGAGAAACTAGCTAAACGGATTGTGTCAGAGATCATTTCTCTGTACCCTGCTGTTTGTTCCGAGTGTTCAGAAGAGTACACAGTGATGCCGGGCTTCCAGCCCAAATACAGATGTTGGAGTTGTCTTCATGAAGCTCACGACTGTGAAAACTTCACAGCCCAAATGGAGCTTTACGAAAGTCTCCCAACCCAACTCAGTGGTTTGGTATGGTTATGCTCAGACTGCATAGCAGTCAACAAAAACAACAACATTGGGGAGTGTGATGAACCACCGTCTGGAATGGGAACGCCAGGTCACACTAAGGAAATCAACCAGGCTCGACCAGATACCAACACTTCGCTAGAAAACAGCACTAATCAGAACAACGGTGCTGCAAGTCTTGAAGTAGTGAAACTGGCTGAAGAGTTGGAGAAAATCAAGAAAGAACAGGAAAAGTCTGAGTCGCCAAAAATCCGATTTTACTATATACTAGCAGTCTCGAGAGTAACAATTATCACACTTATTTCAAGATATATCCGCTTCTGATTGGAGCTAAGCGCTCATCTTGAGCATTATTATGGTCAGAATTATCACATTGAGTGGGGTAGAGCATGGTTTTAAAGTCTTCAGACTTCAGGTTGTTGAGTTATTTGGTCAGATCCCATTTTTACGCTCTCGCGAGTAGCAATTGATGTACTTATTTCAAGATATCTCAGCTTCTGATTGGAGTGTAACGCTCATCTTAGGCATTGAAATGGTCAGAATCATCATATTGAGTGGGGTGGAGCATGCCGCATGGTTTCAAAGTCTTCAGACTTCAGGTTGTTGAGTTATTAGTTCAGATCCCATTTTTACGCTCTCGCGAGTAGCGATTGATGCTACTGATATATCAGCTTCTGATTGGAGCTAAGCGTTCATCTTGGGCATTGAAATGGTCAGAATTATCACATTGAGTGGGGTAGGGCGTGGTTTCAAAGTCTTCAGACTTCAGGTTTTTGAATTATTAGGTTAAAACATATTTTTACACTCTTGCGAGTAACGATTGACACACTTATTACAAGATATCGCAGCTTCTGATTGAAGCTAAGTGCTTATCATGGGCATTGAAATGGTCAGTATGGTCATATTAAGTGGGGTAAAGCATGTTCCTAGTGCTAGAGGTTTTAGTGAAATTTTACTGATATTTTACTGATATTTCTTGGCAAACAACTTTTTCCTGACGATTAATTACAGTTCATCCAATAAATATTTTCAACATTGCAGTAACCATTCTTGCGAGAGCATAAAAATAGGGTTTAACCTAATAATTTAATAACCTGAAGTCTAAAGATTTTAAAACCATGCTCGATTCTACTTAATTTGATATTTTAATGCCCATGATGAACGCTTATCTCCACAACTCCACTCAGAAGCTGAGATATCTTGAAATAAGTGCATCAATCGCTATTCGGGGGAGTGTAAAAAGGGATCTGACCTAATAACTCAACAACCTGAAGTTTGAAGACTTTGAAACCATGCTCTACCCAAATCAATATGATGATTCTGACCATTTTAATGCCCAAGATGAGCGCTTAGCTCCAATCAGAAGCGGAGATATCTTGAAATAAGTGCATCAATCGCTACTCGCGAGAGCGTAAAAATGGGATCTGACCAAATAACTCAACAACCTGAAGTCTGAAGACTTTGAAACCATGCTCTACCCAACTCAATATGATGATTCTGACCATTTCAATGCCCAAGATGAACGCTTAGCTCTAATCAGAAGCTGATAAATCTTGAAATAAATGCATCAATCGTACTCACGAGAGCGTAAAAATGGGATTTGACCTAATAACTCAACAAGTACAACCTATAGCTCCAATCAGAAGCGGAGATATCTTGTAATCTTGAAATAAGTGTGATAATTGTAATGATTCCTTTACAAAACTTAGCAAGTGCTATTAACAATATCCTAATGGATCATGGAAATTGAAATGTTCAATTTTCTTTTCATAAATAATAATTTTTCATCGAATAAAACTTTTTTGTCTCTAAAATAGGCTCAGAAAACTAGATTAATTTACATCATTTTACCTCATTTCACCTCATCCCAATTTTGTCTTTTTTGGCTGCCCGAATGAGGTAAAATGAGGTTGACCCCCCCCCCCCCCCTCCCCCCCATCATGCACCTGTACACCGTTGTAACATTCCATGCTTATGAATCATGTGTAGTATATTTACTATATAGTACATTTACTGTGTATATTTATGTTTAGTACTTGTAGTAGGTTTAGGATTGCACGGTATTTACTATAAAATAAAAGTTTGTCGTCATATGAACTAATTTGTTATGAATTTTTGTTATGACTTTTATATAAGGCCCACTGTCACTCAGGCGTGAGGTTCTGGGGCACATCACTTGAGCGACTAATGGATTAGAAGTTTTACTCCACGTTTTAGAGTCCGAGTAATTATCAAATATTTAGTCAGAACTTTCAATGAAAGGAAAAAATCATGAAACTAAATAATAATACACGATTAAACCAGATTGCTATTGTGTATTCAATACGGTTATTATCACCTTAGTATCCTGGTTTCCTACATGTGTAATAACTCACCCAAGAGGGATATAGCAATCAGAACTGTTGGAGTATTCCAATACCGCCAGAATGTGTCGCCATACACTTTACTACCATTTATAACCTAAGAAACATGTAATTTAGAAAGGACTAGGATTAATAACTCATTAGATTCGAAATAATGGCGCATAATAAAATCGAGTATCTTATTGGGTTATTAAAATAAGATATCTTTTGCTAGAATTTTAAAGTTTAAGCCATAGAGCAATCTTCTCAGTTTTAAAATTTAAAAGTAACATTTTACCCTAACTATGGGGGGGGCCAACCATATTAAAGTATATTAAAATGTAGGATTTTTCCCGATTTTGACCCGGGGATATACTTTAATATACTTTAATATACTTTAATATACTTTAATATATCCCTATCTCCTTGGAGGCCTACATCAAAAATTGTTGCCCAAAATAAGCTTGAAATGCAATTCGTAATCGATTCCAAAAAGTTCTTGAAAAAATATTTAAAACTGATGGAGTTATTTCAATTTTAATGAAGTCATTTTGGCTAGTATTCCGAACCGAGATATTATGTGCAATTTTCCCAATTTTGTTCATGGAGGTCTTTTTACTTAGTATCCACTATATTCAACAAACACTGAGTTATATCTTTCACATAGAGTTAGTCTCATTAAAAAATATTGAAATTTTATCGAATTTGGGCAAAAGCGAATTTGGGCAAAAGCGTATGCCCAAATATGGGCATATTTTTTAAAGCTCATAGCTCAGCCAATTTTTGACCAATCTGGATGGAAATTCATGTACTAGTCCTAAAACAGGCTTATCTTGCGAATCTGAGTGAAAAATATAGTTCTTCATGTAAATCTTAACGAAGAATATAAATCTTCTAATTGTAGGTATATTAAAGTATATTAAAATGTAGGATTTTTTCCGATTTTGACCCGGGGATATACTTTAATATACTTTAATATGGTTGGCCCCCCCCCCCCCCCCCAACTATGATGTGGTGGCATTTCATACTTAACTAAAATTCAACTTTGAAAGTCAATAGATTATTAGTCACAACAAAATTATAGTTTAAGACATCCATTTTGCATTGTGTTTCCAATATTAGAATTTATGATATGTATTGATTGAATAATTGGTAATAAATTTAACTTTTGTTTTATTAACTTTTGTTTTATTAAACTAACTTGCGTTAAACTTCACTAAAATTTTATAATCCAAGGGTATTTAGCATGAATAATAACAGGATTACTGTTTCATCTGGTTTAAAATGTTAGATCAGCACAAATTTCTAATTAATTAACGTTTTTATATCTCTCAAGCTATATTTATCACAAACAGAAGTGAGTAACTGTTTTATGCTGTTAAATCTGATATAGACACTAGTACACTAAACTTCCTCTGAACTTCGATTTTTTAAGGTGTGATAGACCTCATGATAAGGGAAGAGGGGGATGTGGTATATTGATTACCCAAAGTGTCAATTACAACTTACTCAACTTAGATATAACATACTCTGATGTATAGAATACTTTGTTAACCAAAAACTTACCCATTATGTTGAAACAAATAAACTACTAACCAACCATCAGTATGGATTTAGGAAAGACCATTCAACCACTTTCCTTATGCTTAATCTATTTGACAAAATATTTATGTCTAAGGAATCGTCGAAGAAACCTGCAATTGCATTCTTGGACATAAAAAGGCTTTTGACACACTAAGCCATAATATTCTATTGAGAAAAACTTAAGTATTATGGCGTGGATGGCTTTGTCATTAAGTGGTTTTAAAGCTACCTTGGAGGCAGAAAACAGTGCACCAAAATACGTGGTAATGTAAGTAAACTGCTTCCTGTAAACACAGGTGTGCCACAGGGCAGTATATTAAGTCTATTCAGAAACGATCTTAACTTATAATTTATTACCTACTATATGTTTTGATTCTATGTCCTTAGAAGGGTATTCTTCTAACAGTTTTTGACTGACTTGAATGTACTGCACAGCATCTTGAAGCTTCTTTAAATTATTTTTATCCTTCTTGAATTTCTATGTAAATTTCCCAAATTTAATTCTAATTCTAATTCTAATTGTAAACAATTCTCAGAAGTTCATATTGTGGTTAATTTTTTCCCACTGTTTTCACTGCCTTGTTCAACAGCCTAGCAAGTCATATATCCCTTTTAACCAATTTTATGACAACATTTCTCGATAACTTTTATCAAAACCCTTGAAGTGTCCTTTGTTGACAATAAAATGTTCAAGACTAAAACCATGGAAACATGTGCGAACTTTAAATAAGGTTTAAATGCAAATTTGTATGTAACTGTAAGTTGTAACAGAGCTTTTCATAGATCGAAGTAACGAAATATAATTATAAGTTATAACTGATTAGTAAATACCTCATATTTGTAAAATAATCTGAAGAGTAAGGGCTATCTGCTGATGTATGCTGAGGTTGCCTTTCACCGTGTTGAGTGCCGATCTTTTTTTCATTCTTATTGAAGATCTATTGATTTTGCAGTGAATTAAAATAACTTAAGTTTTCATGCCACGTTAATCTTAATTAAATGTGTTTAACAAGGACATGAATGTATTTAAATCCCAAAACTGAGTTGATCCTGTAAATCAACACCCAACGGTTCTCAACTTATCATAACCAGCTGCACACATACATTTTTGAATTCTGTAATTTCGATATTCAGAAGTAAATTTATGACCCGTCGAAAAATTTTGATTTCATCATAAAATACACATAAAATTTCTTGACACCCTGCTGTACATGGTCTGAAGATAAAGGAAATAAAATTAAAGAATGTGTAACAATCCTTCGACAGATTATAACTTTGTTTTACTGATGAAATATAAATTAAAATCCGTTTTAACTGGATTCAAATCACTGAAGCTGCAAAGACTTTACATCCCAAACTAACGAAAGATGACTACATTCATTTCAGCGGACTCTAAAAAAATTAAATCACGATTTGCAATTTCAGCTACATCTGATTTAGAGAGTGAAGTTTGTGGCAATAGTTTAAATTCGGACCATCTAAAGTCATTCCAAAGGCCCTGTAGCAATACTTGATAATTTTCATGAAACCGAAATCAAACTATCGTTTTGACTCGCCAAGTCAATTGAAATAATTATTGAAGAAGAAACAACTTAGTTAAAATGAATGTAATCAAATTTGTGTTTGACAAAACAGGTTTTTAATTCGTTGGTACTACACAGCTACCAACACAATTTTGTAACTTCGAAGCCAAAGTTATGCGGAGGGTAGTCTTCAACGATTGCAGATTGTAAAATCTAGCAAAACACGCGCCCCTCTGAAAATAAAAAATCCATCTTGGACTAAAATTCAACGAATGATACATGCAGTTAATATCAAATCATTATTTCACAAAAGTTATGTTCAATACTAATTATAAGAAAAATGAACTGGGTAGAATTTATGGCATTTAAAAGGTTGTTATAATGACGAAATGCCGTACAAATCGGCGCGTGGCTCTGTGTTTTCAGTTTACTGATTTATACATTATAACTTAAATATGATCGCAGAAAGAATATTTGCTACCTCCCTTTTGATGCAAACAATTGAACCATATTGCATATATTTATATAATTATAATGTAATGTAAGAATGATACTTGTATCAAATATATATCATATTACTACCATATTTATCAACACACAACACTGAATTGAACGCCGCGCGTATTTGACGGTAACAAATAACATTAACATAAACTATTATTACTAATTAATTCTAATTATAAATTGGCTCATCATACAAAATAATCTAACAACACAATATAATATTAAGTTGTAAGTGTTGACACATAATTGATCGCTATTCTATTTATATTTCGCGCGGCGCAAGCGACCGTCCGTTAACACACTCGCTGCTTATAATGTATGCGTCTATTGCATCATTAATGGAAGGCGCGCCAGTGAACTTTTTGCGCGCGAATTTACGATTTAAACGAAAAGAAACTGCAGGGTGTCAACCTTTCAAATTGTTGCTCTGCAAATTAAAAAACACAAAACAACGATCTTCAAGGAAAATAATTTTTTTTTTCATGAGCAAAGAAAATGTTAATTAAATTGTTCATATAACCATGGTTCTTTTGGCGGACGATTCCGATTAAAATTTCATCAAAAACATGACAAAAAAGTGTGCTAATGCGCGCGGCGCGTCAAAGAGACAGTGCGACAGCGCGAGCGTTTTCCAATTTGATAGTTTACTAATTGATGCAAAAGTATTTGTAGGTGTATAACCTACCAGGACGCGCGCCGAGTTGGACTCATCGACGGTCCTGGATAAAATTTGTATCACGTGGTGACCCCCACTGTCGCTTCACTGTAGAGTTTCAACGATACATGGGGAGCCGCGCACTCGTGCGCGGCGGGTCATACAACGTGTGACAAGATAATATATGCAATATGGAACAAATACTTTACAAGTATCACTTGTTAAAAAAGTATCCGTTAAAAATCTTTAAAATAGTTTTTATTTATTTGATCAAATTTATTGTCAATTTCCAAAAAGAATTGAAAGACGAATTAATGATAAAATAAATCTTTAAAATAGGATAATGTTTTTGATAATTTAAAAAAACAACATAGTATTTGATAAATATTATATTTTTAAAAAGGTGCGAGAAAGAACTTTGTTGATATAAACAGTTTAGATTTGAATTTGGAGCCACAAGGCCAAGGTTAAAATTCAAATGCTTCTCCCAAGGATTTCAAAGGATTTCAAGGATTTCAAAAGGATTTCAAGGATTTCAAAATAAAATGATCATTACAATAAACATTGTGTCGGATCTAAATTTAAAAAATAAAGATAAAATGAAAGTCAAAAACGAAAAAACCGAAACCTGTCCTGAAAAATGCACGGTTGACGGTTATAGTCTACGGTTATAGTCTACGGTTATAGTTGACGGTTATAGTCCAAAGAGTTTAAAAACCGAGCTATTCTAAAAAGGAATGTTCATGACGCGAACAACCAGTCCTTTGTGTCCATGCCTAAGATCCACACAAAAATTCCACACTAAATCAAAAGTGTGAAACGCACACGAAAAATAACACACTGTCGGATCCACGTTTCGCATGTTGAGTCCGTGAGTCATGTTGTAGGTCCTTCCTTTTCTTTTCTGTCACTCGGGGGGAACCTCCGCTTGTTCACTTTACTCAAGAATCTGGCAGTTTCTCTGATCAATAGGATATCCTTGAAGAGGTCGGCAAAGGTCTCCGCTCCAGAGGTGATCATGGTTCTCGCCTGCTGACCTATGTTTCGCCTCAGGTCGTCGTAAAGCGAACAATCCGTGAGATAGGGAATATATTGATTTTTTGAAGGGTTGTTTTTATATAGGGTCATTGTGACAATTATGTGTATATCGTTTAATTAATTTTACACTCTTAATATAACAACAAATATACTTAGCGATTTTACATAATATTGAGCTCTTTATATAGTATAGGGTCATTGTGACATTATGTGTATACTGTTTGAAACAATTTAACTAAATTAGGTATAGTGCCCCAAAAAAAATTTACATAGCATATCTAATTTTCTTGAGTGTATTATCGGATGTTCAAGTTTAACTATGCTATTTAAGATTTAATTATAATAATAAGGGTAGTGGGGAAATATTTAATATACTTTTTCACACAGTGCGATGATATTTGGTAAACATGTGTGATGTCTTAAATTTTACTTTGCTTTACTTTACTTTACTTTACTGTACTTTAGTGTAAAAAAAGCTTTTGTCAGGAAAGGAAATAAAACGTCTTCAACAATGGGAGTTCTCACATATAATTTATACTATCTTGAATATTATATATCTTTTTTCTTGGATTATTTTAATGCAGTCACACAGATAGACTTAATACCAGGACAGTGGTCACTTCAACAAGTAGCATGTTGACATTTACAGGAGACATGTTCTATTCCCAATGAGTGGCCATAATTGTTTCAATCATTTAACTACAGATTTACTATTATTACAATTTCTTAAAGATATATCATATCTCAGAGAAGATACATATCGATTTATGTCAGTTCCGCTGGTTAACTCCATAATTGAGGGTGAAAAGAGGAGAGGCTCCGTTAAAAGATTTTGAATCTTAAGGCACCCTGCAGTTGGACTGCCAACCCAGAAAATTACCCCTCGGTACACAATTTTGGACTCGAGGCTTCCCCCTGGTAATGCGATCTCGGAAGGCAGGCCTCCCCTTTGCAACATGACACGAGCTCGGAATCGAGAGCTCTTGATACGAGAGGTACGTATCGAAAATGACTCCGGCCGAAAATTTATAAGTCAAAATTTTTCGAAGTTTTTCGAAAAACCACTTTTCTCCACGTTTCATGCTACCCTCTTCATTATTAGCCGAAAATATTTTTTTGGTTTTTCGGTTTATCGAAGTCTGCACCTACCCCTCGATACACAAATTTGGACTCGTCACTCGAGGCTTCCCCCTGGTAATGCGATCTCGGAAGGCAGGCCTCTCCTTTGCAGTGCGAGCTTGTTTCGACTTTCGAGGATATAGGTCTCACTTCTCAGTGCCTACCAAATTATTATAGGGCACAAGAACAAATTTGTTTACAATTATCAAAATTTGTTGAGCCCAGCAGCTTACTTCCTTTCCTCTCTTCCCCCGTCGTCTGGAGCATGTGATTTTTGTTGATATCCGAGCTCTTGTTTTTATCTTTTGGTTAACTTTCTGTGATTGGACTCGGTATTTTCGTCCCCGCCGAGTGGGACGATGCTTGCTCGCCAGTTAAGCTATACTTTAGATGACACTAATTTCTACAAACCACAAAATATTAAATATAAAATGTGTCCAGTATGGCGCAAATGCATAATTTGATAATTTCTCGACGCCGTCGTCGGGGTGAGAGTTATCTGAACCAACTACATGCCCCTACGATTGCGTCACCACTGGTGAGCAAGCATTTGTTTGTTGTTTAGTTGTGTTGAAAGGGAACATTACTTGATTAATTCATCCATTCGGATTTTAATAACGATGAGCTATGATATACCGTTCATCTTAGACTATTGGATCAATCTTATTATATGATTAGATTTTATAAACGAACTTGGCACACAAAAGATTATAATGCGGAGGTTGGCTGGCTCTTCTATAATAAATACGACACTTCAATTTACAGAATGCTTGCTAGAGGTAAGACAAAATATTATCAGACTATACATGCAGCATGAGTAACTGGTGGATAAGCCTTCGGTAAAAACGGATCCGGAAAAGTCAATGCGGCACTCGGGTCCTTGGTATTGTCGTTGATATATTGTCCATTATCTACGTTCTGCTTTCGTAGTTTAAACAATAGTGAGTTCTAAATATACAGCTTTAAACCGATTAAGTATGAATGAATGAAATACCTGACAATCCGCACTCTAATAATCCAAAAGCATGAGTAACTCGTAGTGATGTATGATTTTTAGAAACTTTAAATTAATTTTGGCGCTCACAGGTCCTCATGAATATGTGATTGCCGCATAAGGTTCTGTAAATGCGCAGGGCACCTTCAAGCTTAAATTATTCACCTTACTGAGGCAGTCAACCAACGCGTGGCTTTATTTTTATGATATGATATGTTTTGATTGTTATTAATAAATACCAAAATTTAAATTTGTTTTCCTAAAATTTGTTTTCCTATTACTCTCCCCTATTACTCACTCCTGCTTTAGCCTGTAGAAATAACTTTACACTAGGCTTGAGTAATTATGAGTTTGCCTGAAGTGTGCCTCTACTAACCTAGTATAAGCATCTAGTAGCATACTATGACCTTTCATAAGCTTTTTACGCCCCTAGTAAGCGTAAGTAAACATGTTAGGATGTCCAATTTAGGTGTTAAATGGTGTTAAAGATGAAATTTCGAAGACAAAATTCATGGCATAAAATGGAGTAAATGGAGAATTACTCATGCCATGGGTTTTTCCATTTTCTGCATAGAAAAAGTCTCCATTTTATGCCATTTTATGCCATTGGCCCCCCCCCCCCCCCCCCCCCCGATGCACACATTTCAATTTCTTTTGCAATTTAAGGGTATTCGATCTGACCACGCCTCAAATTGCTTGTGTTGTTCTTAAATCAATACTGTCTCTTGACTCTTTTGATAGTGAATTGATCTGTATTTGTAATTTGAATGTTAAGGGGGCAGGGGGGGGTCTTTATGAAATTTCTCTCGAAATTGATTTTATAGTTGTTTCTGATAGAGGGGAGTAATATCTACCAGATGTTTTTGGTCCCATGGAAAAATTTTGTTCCTAGCCGAAATTATTGCCGGTCAAAGGTTAGCGCTCATGTGTAATTGTATTACGCGAGCGATTTTCAATCGCGCGCCCTGAAAATCGAGTCTAAAAATCTATCCTCTCCTACATTTTTTGAGCAATCACCTTGAAACTTTCAGGATATGTCCTAAGGACCATTTAGAAACTTCTGGTCTCTCAGAATTTTAAGATAGGCCTTAGAAAAGTTTTTATTCGATTTTGAAAGTCTTGGACCTGAAAAAATCGTCAAAAAATGAGGTCCAAGATTTTCAAAATCGAATAAAAACTTTTCTAAGGCCTATCTTAAAATTCTGAGAGACCAGAAGTTTCTAAATGGTCCTCAGAACATATCCTGAAAGTTTCAAGGTGATTGCTAAAAAAATGTAGGAGAAGATAGATTTTTAGACTCGATTTTCAGGGCACGCGATTGAAAATCGCTCGCGCAATACAATTACACATGAGCGCAAACCTTTGACCGGCAATAATTTCGGCTAGGAACAAAATTTTTCCATGGGACCAAAAACATCTGGTAGATATTACTCCCCTCTATCAGAAACAACTATAAAATCAATTTCGAGAGAAATTTCATAAAGACCCCCCCCCTGCCCCCTTAACATCACCTCCAAATTAGGATAATGAGTTCCAGTGAACCCCCTCCCTCGCTAGCATTTTCAACTGTTATTGCTCCACTACTTTCAACGTTCTCAAAAGGTTAGTGTGATCAAAAATTGAAATGGGAATAATATACTTCTATTTAGATATTGTCTTTGAATGTGCAATGTTATGATTCAAGAATGAGTGGAAGTTCTAGGGTTTTATCTTTCAATGAAACATGCGTAAATTTTAGCCTTATTTAGGAATTCATCTCTAACAAATTCTACTTTCTCAGAACAGTCAAAGTCTATGCGTGAGGCCTTTGTTTTTGCCGAAAAACAGAACCCTGGTTTTCTACATGACTTTGTAGCTGGAGTTATTCAGAATGAAGACATGACAGAGATTTTGCTACGTCTGGGATCAACGGAATGCACGGAGTACCTAATTTCTCCAAATATTGAACTGCATGCTCAGCTGAACAGAAAAGCTCAATCTCTTCGTATGTTGTTAAGCAGCATACCAGATCAAATTAAAGAGCGGTCAGTGTTCTTACAAACAATCAAAGATATTGCTCAAAGCATAAAAGATCTTCTGAATTGTGTGAACAACTTTTATCAGTCAAACACGAACAACCCAGCTGTCATGCAGAACAAGAGGTTATTTGATCACCACAAGAAGAATTTTGTGAGATGCAGCAAAGCATTCAGTGATAGTTTACGTAATTTTTTCAAGGACAACCAACCCTCTATAGTGTTTCTTAGCGCTAACAAACTGATAACGCAAACAAATGTACTGATGAGGACCATAAAGATAATAACGGAGAAGGGATAGGATTAGGTATGGCTTGTTTTGATCTGCCCTGTGTACCATTGCATCCAAATTGAAGGACACGTTTTTCTAGTGTTATTGTAAGATAGTATACATATCATATTTGTTGTTTCCATGCTGGTTTTAAAGGTTTTTGTAAACTCTAGAGTTGAGTTGTTTAATTGAATCATTATAACAGCGGTAATGGAAAGCAGGCTGTAGAGTGTAGCCGTATAAATTTTCTGCTGCGTGTGCTTAGTTTTCTATAATTTGTTGCGATTACCACAACTGCCATGCAATTGATTCTTAATCTTTGATATTCTGGAAAATGGATTTTTCATTTTACTCGCTGGGGATTAAATTCAGTTCTCATCTTATATAGATAACGTAATGTGAAATTTCGATCTAATCTTTAAACAGCATACTCTGATACTCACATCATACTCTAATTTTTGCATAATAACCCACCCGACCCTTGCTTTTGTTTTTAAAGTGATTTTATCAACTACCTCTGATCGTATGTCTTTCTTTTGGGATGAATTCAGAGTGTGATTGATATCCCTGATAATAACATGGAATCCGACTTTTTCAAAATTGGTCTTGGAGTTATATTTTGTCACTGACTAAATATTTGACATGAGACCCTCACTATTACATAATGGATAGAATGACGAAATGTTAAACTATGATATTTTGATATATATAAGAGAAGAAGCTCACAGATTTTGCTGCTGAAATTAAAATTGTTTTATTCGAATTAATGGAACTTTCATCTTTAAATACATTATAAGTGACGATGTTATACTTGGGTCATGATATGATATTGTTTTCTATAATACTTCATTATTGTTTCTGATTCACATTCTCGATTACAAAACTGTTTTTATTTAGAATCTAATCTAACTAAACTCTAGACTTGCGATATTTAGAGTTATATAAAAGTTGCCTCCTGTGACATCAGCTTCAAATTTGACCAAGCAAATCATAATAACATGTAGAATTAAAACATTGACATCCTTTTATACACTCACTTCACTACTAATTCCGTTAGTATTGCATGGAAGATACTCACAATGGTAGAGGACACCACAAGAATAGTTTACACGATATAACCATGGGACACCCCAACCAACCTGACCGCCCCTCTACCTTCTCTGCCGACAAGAAACCCAACATGGCGTCCTCAAACTACCTCAAAAGTTTCATGGTAGAAGAATCCAGTGACGAAGATTCACCACCCCCAACCAAACCCAAGAACAGTTTCTTCTACAAAGATCAGACAACTGAAGACGACGTCTTCCCCCAGCACCCAGCTAAGCGGAAGCGCACCAGTTCCAACAGTTCTAACAGTGACTCAGAAACACGACCGCCGCTCCGCCAGTACTCAAGAAACAGCTCAGCTAGATCCTCAAGAAATAATAGTGAAAAGTCTGCTAAATCAGGGACTGTGTGTGGGACGTACGGGAGTGTGGCTGAAAGGTCATGTTATCGGCCCAAGTTTCCGACTGACGATTCTGATGATAACAAGGACAAAACTAACTCATCTCGTTCACCTGGTGAGTTTATGTGATGATTAAATATAACGTGTTGTCTTGTACATTGTATAACCACGTCTTCATGACAATTTTGCATTTGAAAGATATTAAGACAACCCTGGCTTGTTTAAAGCCTTCATTTGAAATTTGTTGAGGACTAAATATAAAATCGATTTAAAACACTTGTTTTTACAACTCTTTTTCTCTCCACAGTGAACAGATCTTCTACTGGAAACGGTACATTCAGTACTGATCGCTCCTGCTCAAACGGCACACCTCGCTTCAAAGCAACATACCAGCGCAGCACTGATCGTCCATCTACGTACGGCGCAGATCGTCCGTCTACGTACGGCACAGACAGAGTGACACCACATCACCCTAAATTCCCATCAGACAGTTCGGAGGAAGGAGGAGATGTTAAATCACCCGGTTAGTAGTGGGGCTTCATTTAATTGAGCACACCTTTTATCTGGCGTGTGGTATGTACATTATCGCTGCGGTACGTTTTAACCTGAAGTAGTGAGCTGTTATAGTACAGTGTGTTAGATGTATTTTAACTATTTTATGTATTTAAAATAATTAACAGCCTCGTACGTTGTGTTAGTTTCATGTTTTGCAAGAATTTTAACAGACTTTAATAAGGTTTAAAGTTCATGATATCGTGGAAAACAACTGGTCGAAAGTTTAGTCGAAACTGGAATGGTTTTAACTCTCTATTTATAATAATATAGTTGTTTCGACGTATAACATGTGTGATGTGTTAATGATAACCATTTATGATTTATGGTTTTTGTTTTGGGAGCAAACTTGCCACATAATTCCAGAATCGAGATCAAAGTTAGCAAAAGTGATACGCATTAAGATTTAAAACCAATTCAGTTTCTCAACCAAACTTTCGCAGAGTTGTTCTCCACTGATGAACACACATCCGGTTATGTCGTATTGATTATTCCAGAACTTTTTGTACTAATTTTTAATCAGCGCTAACTTCATTTTACATGTTCACATCCTGTTGAAATCCTGTCGTTATTTCAGCGCCAAGTTCACCGAAAGTAGAGATAAAATCCGAGGAATCCGATAAAGACGGTGCCTCAAACCCACAAACAGACGAACAAACGAACGTACAATCCAGGGAACCCAGCCTGGAACCAGTACCTCGCGGCAGACTCGGTATATATTGAAATTAGGGGGTCACATGTCACCTGTACTTCTTTACATGACCGCATACCTATCTCCACATTCTTCTAGATCACCGTATATGACCTGTATGTTTAATGCTACTTTGTACGATTTCCCGGTAATAACCCGAAGTACATATTTATAGACCACACCAAATTTTGTGACGTTAGATATATGGCATGAAGTATTTACTTGGTCGTGTATAAGGAATGTTGGTGCTATTTAGGTCGTACTGCAGCGGTGAAAGCTCAGGATCTTATCAAGAGTTTTGGGCCTAAACAGTATCGCACGAAGGAACACAGGCTGGCGGACTCTGAAGATGACTACTGCAGTGATAGCAGGTAATATACAATATCACTGTTATATCTTTCTCCTGTTAAACCAATTAGCCAGTGGATTTAGGGATCGTTCACATATTACGTGAGAGGGGGGGGGGGGCTTGAAAAAGCATTAACGCTTGTGTAATCTCTTCACAATATCTATACCGTCTGTTAAAAAGTGGCTAACGGGAGGAGGGGGGGAGGGTTCCGTAATATTTTAACGATCCCTAATTGTGATACGTTGAATCTAAAGTAAAATTAATGCCAGATAAGTTAAGTTCCATAAATGCTCACAAACTCTTATTTGCAGTTATGATTGCGGAGTGCCGAAGTACAAATTGGACCCTACCCTTCTGAAGACCCTGCCTCAGTCCCTTCAAATCGGCTACAAATTCTATGCCCAGCTCAGGTATGTGTGTTATAATAACGAGCACTATTTCCTCTTATTGTTGCTGTTGGTATGAGTAGATCCTAGCTTTTCTATATGATGTCATTCACTCGTTATCACCACTGGGTCATTCATGTTGTTTCAGAAATGACCCCGTTTTCAAGCAAGATCTAGTCCCATTCCTTGACCCAGTTGATAGTAGCCACGAAGGAACGAAAGATTACTACAAGAAAATCGAAAAACCGATGTGCCTTACCAAAAGTTAGTATGTTGACAGCATTCCATTTTTCAGCGTTTCCCATTTTAATTTTTGCCGTTTTTAAATGTATGGAATGTTTGTCGACAGTTTGAAAGTTTCAATTTCAGTTTAACTGAGATTAAAACTTCTGGTTTCTTCAGTTGAAGAGAAAATGTCAAATTTGGACTATTTTTCGACGCCAGAGATAATTGGAGATATTCGATCGATATTCGAAAACTGCTACAGATACAACGGGTTTGAATCGTGGATAAGCAAACACGCCTGCAAGGTAAGCTTTGAACAGTCCCATTGTTAATTACTGCTCGGCATTTCCTTAACCTAGCCAAAACTTCAGCTCTCGTACGGAAACCAAGCTGCAAATTAAGCTCTTTTAGTCTAGCTGCGCGTCATGCCGCCGCGCGGACTAACTGCTGACAATTTTATAACCTTCGATAAATGATTTTGTGATGAAAGTACAATTATGCGCACACGTAGTCTCAAAACGCGCATTTGTTGATATTGTAAAATTTTAGGTGGAAATGAGTTTGGAGCAACGAATAACCCTTCTACCGTACTCCCTGCGAGCCAAGTGTGCAATGTCAGAAACTAATCCTCATCTCACTTTGTACAGAGATGTCTGTAAGTGTTGATAATACCATTCCTGTTCTTCAAAGTGTTTTCTGGCAGTCACTGACATCGCAGTAATGTAGCCATGCAATACCAGCACGTGCTATTTCGATTTTGCTTTCTGATGTCATGCGTCCATATTCCTCATTAAAATCTAAAATGTGATGACTGATAAAACTGTAGATAACGTTAATAAATGACCAGGTGGAAGAAGAACGAGGGTCCCCCGAGTGTTCACTGGGTGCAGTAAATCTCCCATCATGCTCGCGATGGAGGAAATGACGGTATGTTGTTTAAAAGGACCTTGAGGATGTACAGTTAAACATGTTGAGCACCGATCAACAAATTTAACTTAATTAGCAGTGCATGTAGAATGTCACATCCCTAATTTAAAATGCGACTTTTATTTACACTTAATTCTACTACACTAGATATGGTAAATTAAACACACTATCTTGACAGTTGTACCGGTCAAAAGAAGCAGAGATAATAGAAGCACAACTATCACACAGACGGGAAGCTCAGCTTCAGGAGAGGATCGTGACCCTGGCTTCATTGGCCACTAACTGCCCGGATTATAAGAGAATTTGTAACTCCTGGGAGGTCAGTTTGCTAGATTTCTTTTAAACATTCGATCATAGCCAGTCATCTACAAACATCTCATCCCGCAATCTTTAACAAAATACCTAAATTTACTCACTGCCCGACTTTAAACTGTTCTATCTTTTAACAGCTAATATCATCCTGCCTGATGATCTGCGTGTGTCAAGAAGCCTTCAACTTACCCTTCACGGTCGGAGGACTGGAACTAGGACTACTCTACCCCAGACACAGTCAATATCTAGCTAAGCTCATGATCAATCTTTCCTCTAGTGGCAAGAAGACTAAAGAGTGAGTCCCTCATTAACGTGAAAAATTGAAATCTTTCGTGTATTCATTGTCCTACAAACAAAATTTGATGGTAGTAGTCTATCACCAATCTCACACGATATGATAGCTATTCCGGTTACAACAGATCTATGCACACACAATTTTATATCGATATCTTAACGTTTCTCCATCTAAGCCCTAACTACCCTGAGCAGGTTAGAGAAGCAAGGGAAGGTAAGCTACGAGGAATGGAACAGAGAGATAGCTCGCAGAGTACACTACTGGTACACTGTTTCCAACAAACACGGTCCCAGACATGCTCAAACAAGGACTGGTGTCACTCCCGAGATGCACGGTATTTTCGGGACACACCAGTCCCCCCTGCGTACTCCTCGAGAAAACCCCAACACTTCCTCTGAAGTGATCAAGGCAGTTGCGGAAGGGAAGTTGTTCCACGAGTTGAGTATAGGAGAGAGGCTTACGCTGCTGAACACTCTCTGTGCATCTAAAGTGGTGAGTTTGACTGTTTCCGACGAAATAATCCAACTTTATTTTAAACAGTTATGTTACTCTAAATCTAAAATAAATCTACGCTTATCTTTTTGCTTAGAGTCTAAAACTGCATATTTCTTAACACTTTCGAGTTGGTACAGATTTAACCAGGCTATCAAGTTGTTCAATCCCTCTTTATCCACTAATCCACACAGACGATGAGCACAGTATTACAGAACTGCTTCCTCGAGTACGACGCAGAGAGTTTGCGACCCACAACCTTGGGTCGGGACGGTCTCGGTAATCTCTACTTTCACTTCCCACTGTGGCCGGAGGAGGTGCGGGTCTACGTGGAGTTGAGTTCTGCTGCCAATGTGAGTATGTTGAGGAATAAGGGCCACACTATACAAATTTAGCGCTTTTTTGCCCATCTTTCATACGCATTGTGTGCCAAGCAGGCTAACCTTCCAATATTTAACTGCTAACAATATTTAATATTTTCCGCTTAATAATCTCTTTTTAAGGAGGGTCCCGGCAAGGTGATGTGTGTTGCCCGAAGTACAGACGAACTAGAGTCCATCATTGAACAGCTCCAAACATCCGGAAAAGTAGACCGTCTAGAGGTGAAATAATTTGCGACATGTGCCTAAAAATGTAATGATCGTACCTTTGTATACTGTATAGACTAGACCAAGTTTGTTTGCTAAGAGTGCTTGTTTTTTAAGAATTTTATGTTATAATTTGTAACTTAGGAACACTGCAAAAAGGGTGGTCGCAAAAGAGTGCTGGTGACCGCTGCTAAATTCCTTGTCATCCAACTGAGATGTCTGCACGAAGAACAGAAACCTCACCAGTCTCACCATCTACTTGTTGAATCAACGGTCAGTGCCATTGCAATTTTTGGGGGAAATTACAAAGCCGAAAAGCCCCACAGCGTTGATAAAACAATGACATTGTTGTCAATGTAGGTTCACGCTCTTTTAAAAATGGCCGTATTATCGAATTTATCATGACGACTAAAAAGAGGGATTAATGCTGAATGTCAACCAGGACTGCAAGCACATGTTTTGGCGGTGGTCTAAAGGTGTCTATTTTATCCCTGACTTCATGGTCTTTATAAAATGTAGGAATGTTGGGAATAAGGTGACGACCATTTTGACCCTCCGTTCTGATTCTTATTCAAATAATTACAGATCTACAAAGAGCTGGCACAAGCGATGAGAGACGAGGATAACCTGGAAGTTGTACAAGCACCCCCGACTCCGCCTCGTCCCCAAACACCTCCGCCTCGTCCCCAAACACCTCCGCCTCACAACAGTGAATCCGATAAACCAGCTGAGCTGGATAAAGATTGTGGTTCCGAGTCTGACACTGAAGTGGAAATGTCAGAAGAAGGAGTGACCAGTGGGGTTGAGTCAGACAGGGCAGGACATGTTCATTCATCTGATTCTGAAATTAAGCCAAATTCTAACAGTGGACTAAAAGTCGAGCCTGACGGAGTTATAATGGCCAGCAATACTCAAACAGAAACTATGATAAGTTCTACCTCCAAAACCTTCCCTGAAAAATCTGAAGTCTCAGACTCAAATCCTTCCGATCAGACAGAAACACGCAATGAAGCTGCTTCCGATTGATTACATGATATCTGCCGTTTTCTGACAAATGTGCTTAAAGACCAACTCTGGGTCCTTTAATCCAAATTTCTTTTTGGGTCAAGATCTATCCCTTAAAAACCATCAGAACCAATGGCCAGCCTTCTTCTGGGAACCACCTAGAATGCCGAAATTGTCCAAAAATGTGACGAAAGTGTTGTAGAACCTGGAATTAGGGAATGGACTAATGCATTTTTGTTCAGAAAACGGCAGATATGTGAACAATCAACAACCTCTTAAAGAAATACGTCTTATTTTCAGAAATAGTATGCTTTATAGCACTAAATTATTCAGATCAATTTCTGCATTCCGTCGTTATTTAGATGGTACTGCAAACCCTGTTAATTTTAAGTTTAAGCACCGCATGAAAATATTCCATTATTGGAAAATTTATGATCGGGGTAAACTTGTATAACCTGACTTGATACACGTTTCATTTCCCTTTTCGCGCGTGGAGCCGGCCAACGTGCACAAAAGGGATATGTGACGTGTAGCAATATCTGACCCAAGATAAGCTTCTTTACATTTCGGATTGTTACTATACAAATTGCTTCTCGTGACCTGCGCTTCTAATAAATTCTAGAAGTAGACATAAAGCAGCCGTTAATATTGAACGATTTTTGGGACCTACACTAGATTTGTGGGACCTACTCTAGATTTGTGGGACCTACACTAGATTTGTGGGACCTACTCTAGATTTGTGGGACCTACACTAGATTTGTGGGACCTACTCTAGATTTGTAGGACCTACACTAGATTTGTGGGACCTACTCTAGATTTGTGGGACCTACTCTAGATTTGTGGGACCTACACTAGATTTGTGGGACCTACTCTAGATTTGTAGGACCTACACTAGATTTGTGGGACCTACTCTAGATTTTTGGGACCTACAGGGGGGGTACCAATGGCATAAATGGCATAATGGAGAATTGGCCAAACAAAATTTCCATTTATGCCATGAAATTTCTATGCCATTTGATGATTTTTATGCCATTCTTCTCCATTCTATGCCATTCGAAATATGAAATTTTAAAACTTTGAACTAAGAATTTAATAACGAATAGTCTGCACCCCACTAGTACTGTCCACCTTTATCTCTATTTGTTGTACTGACCCTGGTCATTACATGCATTAGAAACACCCCTAAAAGTTCGTTTTTTGACAAAAAATTTAAAACTTCTGTAATTTCATTTCTGTTTTAGTTACGCATTTGATTTTTGGTATGCGTATAGAAAATCGATACGGCTTTAAAATGAGATGTTCGGCGACCTCCTAGCTCACTCACTAGACTCAGTAGGAGTGATTTAACTGCGAGGGACAATTGAGGCTAACAAATTAGCCTCACCACTTTCAAAAAAGAACTTTCTCATGTTACGTCCATGATATCCAAGTTGCAAGTATAATCCATAGTGATTATACTTGATCGAGATCTAAGCTTTAAATATTCGAGGTGAAAATGAGGCTAACCACCTTTTGAGAGGGTGAAATGAGGCTAACAAGTATACTTTCGAGCATGTTCGGTATTGTGACTATCTAATGTGTCAACAATAAAAATTTATTCATCCTCTTCAAGCTCAACATTTCAGAAATCGCAGAGTCTTCTTGTAGGAGGCCAAAATGAGGCTAATAAATGATTCGACCGCATTTTAAGTTTAAACTTTAATGTACGGAAACATGTTATAGACCCACTATAAAACTTGTAATTGTAGCCCGAAGGTTATTGAGACTTTATCGAAACTTATGTGAGGTTGGATTGAGGCTACCTTCCCTCCTTGAGGCAAAATTGAGGCTAACAGATACACTACGCAGACAATTGTCACTGTGCCAGCTATCAAGTAGTTGCTGAGCAGCAGCAGCAGTTAGATGAAGAAAATGAAGTTGAGGAAGGAAATGTATTAGAGCTGTTGGCTAGAGTAGGCCCCTTACTTCTATAGAGCTCTCTGGCCAATTGCTCTGGCAATGCTCTCCCTGGGGCCATGTAATATCACATGATCTGATATCATGCCAAATTAGACTCTAAACTATGAAGTATAATAAAAATGGAACTGTTTGAGAAAAACATTTTTCGTTACTTGGAAAGAGAATACTTACTCAGCTGTCAGCATAACGAATCAGACGTACCTTGATCTTATATGTACTTGTGACGGTCTTGTTTTGTATTTAACTCTGCTGAAGAAGCAATTCCCTAATGCTGAAATCGTCACTTATTACCTTGGAAGTGATCAGAATGAGCAGCTGTTTGCATTTATTCGGGTTTCTTTTCATCTGGTCGCTCAAGAAATATGGATGCGATAACTATGGCCCATGGAATGGAGAGAAATAATGTGTACAGTGCTTTATCATTACATGAAGACACATCTGCAATTGCACATGCACGTGGAAGTACAGTTTTGCATCCTACAGTTCACCTCAAAAAGGTTAAATCTACAGGCCAGAAAGCAGAACGAGTGAAATGGACTGGTGGTATGATAAGCCTAGGCAAGTTGGGAAAAACGCTGGACAGGGCATCGAGGGACTGCATTCGAGAAGGGAAAAGATACAATTTCCCTGTGTTCGCCGCAGTCGCAGATCCTGAAGAACGGATTGGGAAGCCAATCGTCCATGGCCAAGAACTTTCTTGGGAAGCTGTAGATGATGAAGCTGGATGCCTCGAGGATGAGGACGACTTAGCTTATAAGGTGGGGGGGGGGGTCCAACCCGATGTCCGATATGAGGGTTGATGAGGCCAAAATCGGAATCGGAAAAATCGGAAAATTGAGAAATTTTAGAGAATCGATCTCTAAAACCTCTCAGAAGTGAGGAAGTGATAAAAAACCCCTACATATGCTATATTGTTATGAGAAAACGAACTAATTGGACATTCCAATAGTATGTTTTATGTGTTTTTACACTGCAGGGGCTAGTATGCTCACTACTAGTTGGAGTTGTCATGTACTCCCAGACCCGAGTGCTTTGGCCTCTTGACGTGAGATCGATTGTTTCTGCTCATTAATTTTATCCCTATTACTTGTTATTATGTATTAGTACAACACTAGGGTTATATTTTGTGGTCCGGTCTTTAAACATACCATAATATCACTAGTACACTGCACCTTAAATGTATAGTCAAGTACATTTGTATCGTAACACATGCTTGGCTGGGGGATCATGTTTTGTGTCCGTTCGGTACCCTGTATTTTCAAAACGGACAAAAAGTAGGGCGGACAAAAACAGACAAAACATTTAGATGTCCTCCTCCTCCTCCTCCTAAGTCTTCCTCCTCCTGAGTCCTTCTCCTCCTTAGTCCTCTTCAGTCCTCTTCCTGACTCCTCGTCCTCGTCCTTCTCCTCAGTCCTCCTCACCCTCCTCCTCAATCCCCTTCTCCTCCTCAGTCCTACTCCCAGTCCTCCTCCTTCTCCTTCTCCTTCTCCTCCTCCTCATCCTCATTTCTCCTCCTGATCCTCCTTCTCCTCCCCATCAGGCATCAGTTCTCCTTAGTCCTCCTCATAGTCGTCCTCCTCCTCCTGAGTCCTTCTCATCCTCCTCCACCTCCTGAGTCCACCTCCTGAGTCCTCCTCCTCAGTCCTCATCCTCCTCCTCAGTCATCATCCTCTTCCTCCTGAGTCCTCCCCCAGTCCTCCTCCTCCTTCTCCTCCTCATCCTCCTCCTCCTTCTCCTCCTCATCAGTCCTCATCCTCTGTCCTCCTCATAATCGTCCTCGTCCTCATCCTCGTCCTTAGTCCTCCTCCTCCTTATCCTCCTCCTCAGTCCTCCCCCAGTCCTAATCCTCCTCCTTCTCCTCCTCCTCCTACTCCTCCTCCTCCTTCTCCTCTTTCTTCTCCTCCTAATCATTCCTCCTCCTCAGTCGTCCTCCGCCTCCTCCTCGTCCTTAGTCCTCGTCCTCTTCAGTATTCCTCCTCAGTCCTCCTCAGTCCTCATCCTCCTCATCCTCCTCCTCCTCAGTCCTCCTCCTCCTTCTCCTCTTCCTTCTCCTCCTAATCAGTCCTCCTCCTCAGTCGTCCTCCTCCTCTTCATTAGCCCTTGTCCTCATCCTCCTAGTCCTCGTCCTTAGTCCTCGTCCTCATCCTCCTCAGTCTTCCTCCTCAGTCCTCATCAGTCTCATCGTCCTCATCCTCCTCCCCAAGTCCTCCTCTTCCTCAGTCCTCCCCCAGTCCTCCTTCTCATCCTCCTCATCCTCTTCAGTCGTCATCTTGTTCCTCCACAGTCCTCCTCTTCCTCCTACTCGTCAGTCCTCCTCCTCCTCCTTCTCCTCAGTCCTCCTCCTCCTCCGCAGTCCTTCTCCTCCTCGTCAGTCCTCCTCCTCGCCAGTCCTCCTTCTCCTTCTTCTCCTCCTACTCCTAAGTCCTCCTCCTCCTCCTCAGTCCTCCTCCTCCCTCTCATCCTTTTCCTCCTTCTCCTCCTTCTCCTCCTACTCCTAAGTCATCCTCCTGCTCCTCAGTCCTCCCCCAGTCCTCCTCTTCATCAGTCCTCCCCCAGTCCTCCTTCTCCTCCTCCTCATCCTCAGTCCTCCTCCTCATCATCCTCCACAGTCCTCCTCCTCCTCAGTCCTCCCTAAGTCCTCCTCTTCCTCAGTCCTCCCTAGTCCTCCTTCTCCTCCTCCTCATTCTCAGTCCTCCTCCTCATCCTCAGTCCTCCTCCTCAGTCCTCCTCGTCCTTAGTCCTCCCCCAGTCCTCCTTCTCCTCATCCTCAGTCCTCCTCCTCAGTCCTCGTCCTTCTCCTTTTTAACAGTCCTCCTCCTCAGTCTTCCTCCTCGCTCTCGTCCTCCTCCTTCTCGTCTTCCTCCACACCAATCCTGCTCCTCTTCCTCAGTCCTCCCTCTCCTCTTCAGTCCTCCTCCTCCTCAGTCCTCCTCGGTCCTCCTCTTTCTCCTCAGTCTTCCTCCTTTTCCTCCTCCTCATTTCTCTTCCTCATCCTCCTCCTCCTTCTTCTCTTCCTTCTCCTCCTAATCAGTCCTCCTCCTAATCAGTCCTCCTCCTCAGTCGTCCTCCTCCTCGTCCTTAGTCCTCGTCCTCATCGTCCTTAGTCCTCGTCCTCATCCTCCTAGTCCTCGTCCTCATCCTCCTAGTGCTCGTCCTGGTCCTCCTCAGTCTTCCTCCTCTGTCCTCCTCAGTCCTCCTTCTCCTCAGTCCTCCTCCTCCTCCTCATCAGTTTACACAATTTATTGTTACTAAAATGTTTTTAAACGCATTTGTGTCTGTAACATATTGACATGTTACTGTTACTGACTCAAAATGTGCCCGAGAATTTTTTTGTTTAACAGAGTTTTACTCTCCAGTACTATGGAAAAGTTGTTACATGATAAATAAAGATTTTGATAAATAAAGTGATTTTCATCCCTTTTAATGTTATTGAAAATTGTGTAGACTATTCTTTGTATCTAACTGAGGATTGGAAGTTTGAGAAAGGACCATAGTCATTAACCGTGCTACCCATTTCTGCAGATAGCCTGTTACAAATTGTGGAGACAATTTAAATCAAAAGTTACTAAAGCGTTCGCTATTTGTTACGATTTCTTATTACCAA